TTATGCTAAAGCGCCAGAAGTTATCTCTCGATATCCTTATGATAAAGTGGTCGACTGGTGGGCAGTAGGTGTTGTCTCATATCAAATGATTGTAAGAGATGATCCATTCAAAGCCAGTGAGTAACTTCATTACTCATAATCTTTTTTCTTATATATTTTCTTGGCTCATCATACTGACTTGTCTTCTTTACTGCTCTCTGTTTTGATCTTTAGCTGATGGTAAAAGCTTGGAAGAAGATATCGTAAAGAGTAGAGTTAAGATTCCTTCATCTGTTCCTTATAGTTGTTATTCTTTGATTGGTAAACTTTTACAAAAAAAGCCGAATCTGAGAATCAATTCTTTCTCAATTCTTTCGATGCTTTAACTTCACACAGATTTTTTAGAGATGTTTAATTTTATTTTCTCTATGATCTCATCTATTACCTATGATCTAGACAGCTATATATTCGTCCTATGATCCTCGTGGAACTATCTTTGACCTTTTATTGCGATGTTGATTCTGTGTTGTATGATTGGAATATCTTTTCTGCTACGTCCTGGAAATTGAATGGATTTCTTAATAATCAAACTTGAAAGATCTTTGTGCCATAGAAGTTTCATCGCTGAACATAACAACACAAAAGGTTCCAAAATACCAGTTTGCCACAAGTGAATGTACAGAGATATAAAATCGCCAATTCATCATTGCAACCCTTAAGCACTCATGAAGAACAGTATTTGTAGTTCCTAGCTAGTGAGGAGATCTAGAGACAGTTGGTATACTATAATCCATCCTGTACACTGGATATATGGTAAACATGAATCGAGAAGACGATGTCGTCACAACGAACATGGAATTTGGTAGTGCACTACATGCTATCAGATAGCTTGACAGATCCAAGGAAGGATAGAGGTTAGGCCTGTTCGCCTCACCACCATATGTGCATTCGACCTTCTTGGTCTGTAGACTTTGCAGTGACTGGTTTGTACTCTTGCAGATATCATGAGTGTACCAATGACTTCAGTTCTCATCCAAGATATTGGGTAGTTTTGCTTTCAATCGGTGTTTCGACTAGCGTTAGATCTGTATGTTTTCGGGGTGAGTCTTGAGTCTTGGATGGAGTGTATGGAGTATACGTTGAAGTTGATGAGATTGATTTTGAGAGCACTGATAGACATTCGTTGCTTCGTGATCTGCTTCAAGGTGGCTGTGAGATACTGAGAACTGTTTGGTTTGGTGGTCCAGGCTGTGTTTATCTCAGGAAACCCGTTGTGATTGTGAGACGCGCATCCAGTTTGGCTGGGTTCACTGTCGCGCTTCAAGAAACTACGAAAATTTCAATCAACCAACTTTACCTACCACCATCCATCGATGTCAACTTCCTCATTGTTCGATGGTGTGGTTCACTTCATCGATCCATCGGTACCTCCCGGTTTGGCCAATTCGGTAGGAACTTCATTTTATTCTAATCATTCCAATCTGAAGTCTGATGAACAAATCGCAACTTTCCATCAACTTCAGCTCAATGACTTATTAATCTCAAATGGTGCTCAAGCTGCCTCTGGGCCCTCCGAGGGTCTCACTACTACGGATGTCGCGTCAAGTTCACAGCCTAGGTTCGATCTACTTACCACAACGCATATCATCACGAAAACATTGGATATGCCAGAGTATCGAAGTCTTGACACGGAGCACAAATGTCTCGGAAACGTACTCGTTGTGGATCTCAGTGAACGATCGGATGAAGACTCCAGCCTACCACGCAATTCTTCAGACTCTCGGAGACGCAGCAGGCCGATCGACCCACCTAGTGCAAGTGAACGATGTATCGAAATCGTCACCCCGAATTGGGTCACTCGATCTTACGACACAAAACATCTGCATCCAACAGAGTGTTACTCACCGGATCCCTCGAAAATTTTCTCCGGGCTTGCGATAGCTTTGAATTCTACCAGTGGACTGCCACTAGCAGACCTTGAGCTCATCGAAGCAACGGTTATAGCATGGGGAGGTCAATTCAACGAAGAGGCGACAGTAGACACGACTCATGTTTTGTTCCATGGAGATTTCTCCGAGACGAATTACAAATTCAAAATGAAGGCCGAAGTCAAAATCGTCTTGCCACACTGGTACGTTTGATAATGTGATCCTAACCAGAAATTGATCGATCTAATGGCGTTTCCTTTTGTGAACTTGTGTCACAAATCAGGTTCCATATATGCACACTACTTCGTACAATCGTTCCCGAAGGACCGTTTCAGTTTCCTACACCACCTATCCTCGAATCTCTCGAATCTATGAATGACCTCTCGGAATTGAAATCAACTGCGTCGTCGTCAGTGACTCTGAAACATTCACCCACCCCCCCGAACGCGGGGTCGCCTGATCACTTGAACAGTCTGATGGAAAAGTTAAAAAACGACGCCGATTTTGCGAATTTCTTGAAGAAACATCAGAGTGGACAGGGGAAAAACGACATAAACGATAATACATCCAATGTTCTTACCAACCAAATCCATCCCGAGCTCAGTGGCAAACGTGTGTATCTGGTATCGTCTCTAGAAATGAGCTCATACAGTCGTGAAGCATTGGCTGGACGTATAAAGCAATTGGGGGCAGATGTGTATGATGCACAAACCGATGCCCCAAGTTGGCAAAAGGAACGTGATGCCTCGGAGATGGATGAAGAAAGCGCACTTTCAGCCGCTGATTTCGTGATATGCGATTCTCGCTCGGGATGGGAATTCTGGCTCGCCTGGAAGTTAGAAAAGACTATTGGAACATTGCGATGGATTACTACTGTCATCAATATCACAAACCCTCTCCATCGTCGAATCCGACCCCCGTTAGAAAGATTCTTCGACTACCCTATTCCACCTGGAATGATTTCAGGATGGGATCCTAAAAATACTCTGGTAACAATCACTAACTACAATGGGTTTTCTCGAACTTGGCTAATCAGACTGATTAGAAAAATGGGACTCAAGTATGACGGAACTTTGTCATCTAACACATGTCTTCTCGTGGCTGCAAAGTGTGTCTTTTTTCTTGAATCTTGAGTTCACGTATGACAACTTCGACTGACGCGTATAGTTTATGTTACTCTAATCCTGCACAACACAGCAAAAGTGGTCAAAAGGTAGAGTATGCGCGTAAATTATGCATCCCCATTGTAAATCATCTCTACATCGAAGACTGTTTCCGGAGTTGGTCAAAGATGGATATCCAGTTGGTTCATAGGACCTACCCTCACGATGGCAGTTTATTTGAGCCGACCGGTAAGGCAGGGAACACGTCTGAGATCATCGAGAGATGGACAGAAACATCGGCTGCTATAGAGGAAAGAGAAGCGTCCAGAGAGGAACGAGAAGCTGTTTTGCAAGAATATCGGTCTCGGGATATCAGTGACACCAACACTACTGAAACCAAGGAGCTTGCGCCTCGTTCATTGCCAGGTCCTGACACTACGGTTCCCGAGGACGAAGATTTGACCATCAGCGACGAATCGGACCGAATGGACCTAGATGAGATCCCTCACCCCGATCCTCTTTCTGATCTCATGATGTGCGAGGAGTCATCACATATCAGAAAGCCCGTCTCCAATAAATCATCTAGCTCCTTACCGTCAAGTCCTTTCGCGAATAATACCACCAAGATGCTTATGGTCGCAGATGGCGAGGTTACAGAAGAAAACGGCAACGACAACTTGGCAACAACATCTGCTCCCTCGGAACCAGGGCCTCCTCGCTCTCCTGAAGGTACACCTGACACCGATGAAAGAGTCGGGCCTGATGGCGGACTTATTCATAGCGCTACGAAACCAGCAAATCCTTCAAAGAGAAATTCTGAAATGGACGTCAACTCTAGGCATACCGATGGGGAAGCTCAAAGGCCTCACAAGCGCTCGAGGCCTAGTCTTCACCACTTGACCAATGGAAGGCATTCGAAAGAACAGGTTAGAGACGCTTCCAGGAATCATTCCCCCTCGCTTCAGCTGCCTGATTCAGATAGAGAGAAGGAGACCACAAAACGTGGCGAAAGCAATGCTGAAGATTTCGCATTTGATGATATCACTAAAAGCAATCCCTCAAAAACCGTGGCTAACGCCACCAAATCGGTCAACGGCAAAGACTCTACGACTGTATCACGTACATCTAATACGAAGAAAGTTTCACAAAGACGTCACTCTGATACCCCGAAGCGAGCAGATGATGCACCGATGGCCGGTGCTTCTCAGTCCATCAAACGTACTTCGACTCGTATGACAGCAAAGAAGACCGCCGCTAAAGTGGCGGATTGCGCTGCGGACATGCTTGTACACGAAAAAGAGAAAAAGAGGAAGGTGTTATCGGGGGCAGGGTTGGCGGGAACCAGTAACGGTGGTTACTTTGGTGACGTAGGCGCAAAGCCTCCGTCAGCTTCCAAGAGTCGTAGTGGAGAACAAAGAAGCAAGATCACACGAGGGAGAAGCTTGGCCGATACTGATCAAGCTCGGCCAGTAGCTTTGGCGTCTAAATCCACTCCTGGAAGGATCAAAGTAGAAGATGAAGACGCTGATTCGCCTTCGTTGTCCAAAGTACGTTACCGGAATGATCATATATGTGATCGGAATTTCGGGTCTGGCTCTGAGTGGGATGATGATGTCAAACCAGTCACCGACATGGTAAAGCGGTCGAAATCAAATCCACGCGATGCGAGAAGTCGTTTACCATCACGAAAGAAGTCAGTAGCTTTCATTTCTCTATCATCTATTGATTTGCTCATGCTGGTGTGTTGTATATCCTTACGTGGCATGTTCAGCAAACCAAAAGCAGAACCATCGAACAATGCAGACGAACTCATGCAAGCGGATGTTCGCATCCTACAAACAGTGATCCGATTGGACAAAAAATTGATCCAGGTCAGGAAGTGTTTTCGAATGATTCTTCGCACGTGATCTGACACTGATTTATCATTTTATCTGATTTGAATAATATTATGAACAAAGAAACTAGAAAAACTAGGTGCCGCCGTCACTGATGAAGCAAAGATGTGCACTCATCTAGTGACTGATAAGATTTATCGAAATGTGAAATTCATCCAAGCTATCATTCTTGGGGTTCATATTGTCGATCAAAAGTGGGCTGAAGCATGTGTCAAAGCTGGAGAATTGATAGGTATTCTTTTTTTCTTGTGTATGCAATGATTTTCTTTTGCTTGTCCTGATACCTCGTATTATCCTTCTCATAGAGCCGGATGATTATTTGCTGAATGACAGGCACGGCGAAACGATCCACGGGTTTACTTTACAAGAATCACTGTCCAGAGCGAGGGAAGCCAAGCTCTTGAGCGGTGAGACATTTTATGTGTCACCTTCTGTAAAGCCCGATTTTGAAACCATCAAGGAACTAATTGAACTTGCAGATGGAAAGGTATGTAAATCAATATTCATCATTGACTCATATGGGCAGATGATTGAGGATACGTCTCTTTTTCTTGACCCAGGTGATTACAACAACACCATTAGTCCGAAATATCAGGGAAAATCCAGGAGGGCGTGTGATCTCATGTGAAGAAGATTATGTATTTTGGAAAGCTTTAATGAAGAAAAAACCAAACGAGGAGGATATTCCGATTTACACAATTGAAGTCATCTTTGCAGGTAACGCCTTTATTTTGATGAAATCCTTTTGATCTCAGATTCTAGAATTGAGCATTGATTCCTTTTTATTGATCTTCATTAGGTCTTTTCACTCAAAATATGATTTATGACGATGAAAAATCTCAATTAGAGACTCAAAAAATACTTGATAAATATTTTTAAACGTTTATAAATTCAGATCTTCCAGCTTGATTATCGTTTCTTAAAAAAATTGTCCACACACTCGAACATCTTACATATTTCTTGATATCTTTCTTTATCTTCTCTCAACATCATGCATCTATATATTTTATATGTACAATCTACTTTGTTATAACTCTGTTTAGATCGTCTGGAATCTTTTTGAATGTGCTTCTTGTATGTTTCTAATTACGTATCGTGTGGTGTAATGTATAACGGTTTTTACATTGTGAATTGAGCTGCGAAGGTTCACCTTCAACCTTACCAATCACATACACACGTCTAAATACTTGAAAGACAATCTTAATCAAGATCTTAATAAGGGTACAACAACCCACCATTCTCTATCTACGACGTTCCCAATCCAGAATCCAATCTCCCGACCATGTCATGATTCGAAACATCTTTCACAAACTCAAAAGGATGACTCATCTGCTAGTTCATCATCCATGGTTACTGATCCGGCTAGATCTTGACCACATACTACGTTATATGGCATTTGGATAGAAAGCTTGTGATTGGATAAGATCCTCAAATGAGTTCCCTCTTTAGACGATCATAGAGTCATTTCTCTTTTCCAACTTTATCTCTTGTCACTTGATATACCAGGTCTTCTTTGGGAAATAAAAAATGATCGACATATTTCTGACCTGAGGTTTGTTCACTACTGCAGGGCAATGATATCTGCTAGATGGAACGCAATCACATCCTCATACAAGATGGCTCTTACTTGAAAAAAGGAAACCGAGCTTAACATTCCTGTATCTATCAACACAGCAAAGGAAGAAGAGCAATTCGAAGCACTTCTTCGACTCCGCTAGGATCCAATTTGTCTGCTACTCCAATTCCTCTTTGATCAAGAGGACAGAGAGCTTCAACCTACATCCTATCCTTCACTCAATCAACTCGAACCATGAGGTCTAGGAATATGATCAGTAGCAGTGGCACAAACTACACATGTTTCCAGTTCAGCAAGAGTTCGAGTAGAGATAATAGAACAGTCTGTTGAGGTGGGGTGTTCAATCCCTTGGCTTTCGCCTTGTATTAATTGTAACATGATCTATAGATTTTACAAAACGAAGAGACTTGATAGTAAGCATCACCTCAGGTTGTGATATTGGTTTGAATAATCAGTTTGTCTGACTTTTCAACGTGAGTAGGAATAGTTTAGTTGGAAGTGACTGTGTAAAAAAGATCAAATGATTTCAAACAAAGCTCACGTCGACAATGAAAAAGGTTATATGTAAGCAGATTAAAGTGAATGTGTTTGAATCTGACCTTCAATTGTTTTACAAGTAAACAAATTCAAGCTTATATGTCATCGATCAGGCTTTCTTGCAAATTCTTTGCAGGAAGAATTGATTCATTAGGTTCATTTCTCAACATTTTCTAATGAGATTATTAAAGATACAAGGAAAAGAATGATCATCACTTGATGATCTCTCCTTCCCATCTTGTTGATATAAATTCAAACTTTATAAACCTTCAAGCACTCTTAAAAAAAGGTTTTGGAACCAAAACATGTCATCAAGATCTAAAACCTATAATCAATCAAATTCAACTTTTTTTCTCACTTTTATTTGAAGGTTATTCATTCCAAAACTGAATACACATAATAAAATCATCTTAATTCTTGAAAAAAAAAATGGAATTTCTTTTTTTTATCAAAATCCAACAACCACCCTACCGACTCCCGAAAAATCATTCCAAATCTCAACTTTAGAAACCATTTCAGTATCCTTCAATTGATCAATCATCAACCTTTTCACATCTACAGCTTGACCATTTCCAACTTCAAACAAAACCCTCGGCAAGCATACCTGTTTTGTTTCTCGATCCAATCTTTTTTTCAAAATCCCTTCATTCTTAATCCGATTCAAGATTTCTTTATAAAAATCTAATCCATCATCTTTTTCTAATCTTATCCTTTCAATCTCTTCTTCTTCTTCTGCTTCATCAACTCGATTCATACTTTCTCTAATCTTCTTAGGTAATTTTAATCCTAATTCTTGCATCATGCTTACCGTCTTAGGTAACAATCCGTTCGAATTCATGACCGATGATGAAGATGATGATGATGGTGATGGGATCGGTTGATTAAAACTTTGTGATCTTTTATTAAATTGATTAGCAAAAGTTTTAGATTTCAATAAATCTTGATAATTTAAACTCAATTGTTTATCTCCAATCAAAGCCAATGCACTTTCCCAATTCTTGACTGATGATGGTAATATAAGGTGGATTTGAAATTATCATATCGAATCTTTCATCTTCATTCTCATCTTTGATTGATAATTCTTCATTGGTCAATTCAGATTTCCTACGTAATCCATTAAGAACATCTTCAACAAAGCTTGTTGAAAACAAATTCAAATTCATAAACGAAGCTTGACCACGGTAATGTAAAACTTTAGATCGAGTGTTTTGAAGTGCTTGTCTTTGAAAAAACGTAAGTCCATAACTAAATGCATTTCGTTTTGCAACTTCAATCGCTTGATGATCCACATCAACACCCATCACAAAGATATTAGGATGATTATAAGCTAAATAAGTAGGTATACATCCACTTCCTGTACCTATATCTAACACCTTTAAATCATGCTTCCCAAACTGAGGTTTAGTACCAGATTTTTCCGGATCGTTCCAAGTTTTGATCATATCAGAAAGCTTGCAAGTCCATTGCTCAGTCTCAGGCCTAGGTATCAGTATAGGAGGCTGAACCGCAATCTGAATGTTTCCAAAAGGAACATCACCTAAAAAACCAAAAAAACCATCAGAATCTTCCCAAACCAAAACACATACATTCCTCTGTATCCAAAAGAATTGAAGAAAATCAAGAAAATCCAAAAAAAAAACTCAACTTACCAATAATATAAGCAATTGGTTTCTTATTAACAGTATATTCACCAACCCATTCTTTCAACAATTCTTGAACCATTACATTAGTTTGTTCTTGAACTTTAAGATGATCACTAAGTGAAATAGGAGAATACGATCTGATTCGAGTCTTTTGAATTTCTTTTTCGGCTGCGATTCTTAACCAACCTAATTCGATTTCAGATCTTTGGTTTTGTTCTGGTGTTGGATTCAGTGTACCTTCTTCTGTCATATACATCTTTACAAGTTGGTTCTTTAATGCAAAATCTCCTGTGTCTAGTAAAGAAGGTGTTGAGAAGGCAGGACGTGAAGGTATTTGATGAGGTGGTGAATCTCGGTTGGGGGTATGGGATATGGACGAGATTTGCGTATCCTTGGGTTGTGTGGTGATATATGATGAGGGACCTGAAAGAGGTGTCTGATGCGGGGGATTGTTTCTGGAGATATCAGATCCATTCGAAGGGTATTTTGCGGTCGAAGTAGTTTGATGAGACATCTCCGAGGGATGGTGCAGTTCTTTTGCGACAGGACGCGGTGAAGAGGGTAGGTCCTTTCCTGGAAGATGACTGGCCGAGAGCGACTGAGGCGTGGAAAATGAGTGATGCTTCTCCCGATCTCGTGCCTGAGTAGGATCCGACGGAAAATGACTCAGCACTGAAGAGTATTGGTCGGGCTGGCTACGATTCTGTGTGAAGGATGGATGACTTTGCTGTGCATTTATGATAGCAGGCTGTGGCATTGAACCCCGCACCGATGATGTCACTTTGTGCGCCTCTTTTTCTGACCGGCTTCTGGCTTGCGGCGTAAGAACAGGTTCGGTATTTTGTTGGGAATTGACTGGATGAAGTTGATGAGGAAGTGGTACTTGCTGAGAATTATACCGATCGGTTGAATTCACCCTATCCTTACGAGAATTATCAGGTCCCCGCGAAGATCCGGCAAGAGGCTGACCGTCCCTCATTGAAGAATGAGAGTTAGAGCTCGCCGGAGGAGGATTAGATGTTCCCCGAAACATCGAGTTGACACGATTATCTACATTCTTGACGAGTTCGGTTGAAGTAGTTTCTTTGACGATTGAATTCGGTTTAAGCTTTTTAACTTTTTTCATCTTTTTGGAATCCAACTCAATAAAAGTAGGAAAATTAATCAATCCACATTTCGTCTCATGATTCTCTCCTTTAATCCTAATTTGTCTTCTACGTTCTAATTCATCTAGATGATCTTGAACTTTTTGTTCTTTTCTTGCGTGTCTACGTGTGACTCTATCTTTTCTTGTTTGTAAGACTCGCATTCGTCTATCGATACGTTCTTGAACTTTCAAACGCTTTGACTCCTGAGCTTCGTCTCGTCTTTCTGTCCCAAATTTCGCCGGTCTTTGAAACTGTCCTCTATCAGGTGTATTATGCTGTGAGCCGTCATCTGACCCCTGTTGTCGATGGCGCTGTGAGCCGGCGCCTGAACGCTGTGGTGTATGGCGTTGCGAACCGGCGCCTGACCGCTTTTGAGTATAGCGCTGTGAACCGACGTCTGACCGATGTTGTGTGTGGCGAGAAGATGATTCAAAAGGAGGAGCCGCTACCGTGGGACCACTACCATCCATAGACCAATCGACAGAGTGAGGTGAATTAACAGCTTGAGAAGGTTTCCACTCTAGTCCTGCAGGTATAAAAGATTCCTGATTTCTCTGTGAAAACTTCACATTCGACTTCCTTTTTCCCTTATACTTTTTAACATCCGAACTTGACATTCGACGTAAAGGGTTCAAAGGATGTGTTACCTGAGATGCAGAAAGTAAAAAAGGCCTAATCGATATCCGGGTTGGTCATCAAATTATTGGAAGATGAGAAGTGTACGGAAACAAACTTACATCTTTGGATTCCTTGGAATGAGCTCATGAGTCTATTGAATCAGAGACAGCAAAAAAAAAATGTTCGAAATGATGTTAGACCAATTGTGCAAGACATAGATCTCTTCTCTATCTAGTGAGATGAAACTGAGGCATAACGGAATGATTGTAAACCCAACATGCAATGAAGCGAACATCGAGTGATTTACCAAACGATCGAACATCGGTCTTCCTAGAACTAAAATCATTGAACATTCAGTTTTGATCAGCAATCCCACAGAATTTTAGATTGGTAAGATTTGTAAAAGATCTATGATCCCCTAATAAAAAGTTGAAGGTATGTGCTAAAGGGTGCTCACCCGAGGTTCTATGGATCACTTCTTCTTCATCTGAAATCCTAATACTTTCTGCACTCGAATCTTTAATTTCGATTGGTATGACCGATGTTTGAATAGAAAAGGTAGGTTTTGACTAGATGAAAAAAAAGTCATCCAATTTAAATATTCGTCGTCAATGAATTATAAGACAAAGGTTTCAGTCAGTTAAAAATGAACTCTTATTTCAAAAGAATTTAATATTGACTTACGTTCTGAAGATTAATAGAATAAGAAGCAAGACCCGAATTTGTAAAAGACCGAAAGACAGAAAAATGATGATACCTATTTAAAATATTTCTGGTATTGAACTTGAATGGAAAGATAGCCATGCCATGAATCGAAAACCGAAAATTGAACTTCAAATTGTCAATTGTCATAAATGGGACGAGATGGAACTTTCTTCAAAAAAAACCCATTCAAGTTTCACTGAAGTTTCACAGATTCCATCATCATATATTCATGAGCTTGCACCTGTCATGTGAGCTGTAGCATGGATTTCGTCAAACTTAACTAAGTCCCCACCCGGACCTAGGTTAGGTCCGGGTGGGGACTTAGTTAAGTTTGGGATTTCGTGGTCTTGAAAGTTCAAAGTGAACTTCAAACTTCACTTGATCAAATTATTGGTCATCAAACTTGAGTGAAGGCACTTGGTCAAGTTTACTTTGCTGCTCAAAAGTCTCTCCTCAAATTCTCAGTATGGCTTAAAAGAATACAAAAAGAAAAATTCAAACCTACAAACCATCAACTCCCATGCCTCTTTTACCAAACCGCATGTACACTTCTTTTACAAACCTCAATATGTACCAAGAATCAAGACATTTCAATCCTCAACCAAAAGAAATATATATATCAATTCTTCTAAAAAAACAAAAAAAACCCAAAGAACAAAACTATCTCAGGGTACCTTCTTTCTAATCACATTATATACAAATTATCTGAACAACGCAAAAAGATTTTTTTAATCACAACTCATTCGTGTATATGTATACAATATATATATATATATGTATGTGTAAAATGTATAAAAAGTAATGGGAAAAAAAAGGGAAAACTTTTTTGTGTAGGTTTTGGTTTGGGTTTAGAAAATTCCTGATCTTTATTTACATTGCTTTTTTGTTTCTTTCTTTAGGAAAACAAACAGTTTAATTTTTAGGAAAAAAAAGTTGTCACTTTTTTTTTCTGGTTTGATAATAAAAAAGAAATAAAGAAAATAAAAAAAAGAAACAATTTGTTTTTTTTCCAAATCATCAAAAGAAAAAATTGTAAAAGAAAAATCAAAGACGAGCCGATTGACGAGGAGAAAAAAAAGAAGTAAGAGAGAAAGAGAAAGAGAAAGGAAACCAAATTTGAAACGAGAATCAAGAAGAATGATTCAGATGAACAAAAAAAAAGAATAACTTGCGAATTGGGTAGAAAGAAAGAGAGAAAAAGAAACACATGAAATACAAAGAATTCAAGTTGTAGAAAAGAATCAAACCGATCCATACGATAACTTGATTTCTTATTAATTACTCTCTGGAGAGAGAGAGAGATTACCCGAATCTTGATTGATCTGGATCATTTTAGAATACCGAACCTATCAAAACAGAAAGATAACCAAATTAACAAAGCTCAAGACGAATGTGAAAGTGAAAGTGAAAGAAAAACACTAACCTCGAAAGTAAACTTTGAAGTTCCGAACAACCAATCTCACCCCTCTTAATCGTTCCACTAGGTAACTCCCGTTCCATAGCCGGTAAACTAGACACATACTCTCCACCGCGGTACCAAAGCAAGGTAGGAAGGATATCACTATCCGTCGGTCTTCTAGCCCGACGTTCCTCACTTTCTTGATGATGACCATCCACATCGATCAACGGTCCGGGATTCTTCTCAGACGAAGCTCTTGGGGTGATTGAAAGAGTCGGAAAGAAATCATCACTGTGAGTCGATGAATGATTAAAGAAATCTAATTCGGATGCAAGAGCTCGTAGAAACTTGGTTCGTGGATAGAGTCGTGCTAAGCTTGAGAGATGACTATTGAGGATCATACATGCATCGAGAGCCTAGAGTAGAAGAAATTGAAGGTTCAATCGATCATCCGCTGAGAATAGATCAAAGATTCAACTCACAGGATCGTATAGATGAACCAAGACCACAGTCTCCTTATCGTCCCTTTCAGCCTCCACAGCTTGAATAAAGTTGTCTACACCGACTTCCCGTAGATGACCAAATAGTTTTTTACCTCTACTATCGGTTTTCACGACTTTTGAACCACTGTTGATCGGACTAACTGAAGGAGGAGAAGATCCCGAACGAGCACGATTGATCATCGAGAAAGCATTAGGTCTTCTATCCATGATCCGATGAGTTCTTCGACCCGAAGTATAAAGAGATGAAGTAGTAGGAGGATGTCTTGTATCCTTATCTGATTCAGAATCAGTTTCACTATTCGAACTAGGTTGTTTATGATGAATCCTAGGTACTGAACCACCTCTATCATCACTACCACCCAAAATTGCACCACTTTTACCATGAGAAGCTTTAAAATCAAGTAAGACACCTTTCGGACCTGTATTACCAGACCAACCACGAGACATTAATGAAGCCACTGAAGATTGATGAGCATAATCGTATTCATCTTCTTGTAATTCCAAAACAGTAGTTTCATCTAATTCGACATCTGAATGATTATTACGTTGAGGTTCACGACCATCTGGATCAGGAGAATCTAAGCTGATAGTAGTAAGTGCGCCTGAAAGAGCAGCTTGTTCGAGAGAATTCATTTGAGATGATAGGATTGATTTGATGGATTGATGGATTTGATTGATAGATTTAATTAAGAAAAAAAAAAGGAGATTGAAAGAGATCTATGGATGAAAGTTGAATGAAGGGAATGAGATGATTGGAAATTGATGGAGAATGAGATAGGAGTGTAAAAGAGGATTAATCGAATGGAATGGAATGGAAATTGATTTGAAGAAGAAGATAAAATGAGAAAGTTTGAATTTTTTTTAGTTTAGAATTGGATATTGTAGCTTGAGAATCGAATCAGAAACTCAAACAACTGAGTTTTGTTCAGATTAGAATTCGATTCAAACTTACTTATCCTCACGACACAAGAGTCACAAGACCAAAGATTTGAAATTTATCATCATCAATCTGTCAACTTGAATGACATCTACTTAAAGTTCTCTCTAACTCAACTAAACCAGTCAATCTTAAAAACTCAATCTTACCTAATCCAATTCAACTTTACCTAATTATCAATCGGATTCAAACTTTCTTTCTTCTCACTCTTGGCATATCAATCAACAATCAATGCCACTAAAACCATCACGAGTTCATTTCTTCCATCACTGCTCCATCGATCTCGAAGCTTTAGAATTCGTAGGATTTCAAAAATCATTTCTTTAAAAACCTTTATCAATTCATTCATCTTCTCTCATCCTTCGACTCTTTGATAGGCTTCCTTCGGGTTCCCACAGCGGATGGTTTTTCAAATATCACACACACTAAAGAAAAAAAGTCTATTTTCAGTCATTCAACTTCACCGCTCATATGATACATATATCGGAGCTCAAATATCCTTGATCTATCTTATCAAAGCATTGCAGCTTACTCCCATGGAATTTATAGTTGCATGTCTTGAGACGAAAGCGTTTTGGGTGTGAGTCGGACTCACAGTTTGACTTCTACATGCTCATTTTAAGCATCTACTCATGATCAAGCTGTCTGATTTGAATCTAGTTGATTTAAATCGAGTTCGATAAATAAAAATTAACAGTGGTGTTCAACGAGCTTCAAGTTTCAACGTCTACAGTGTAGAATCTTGAGCAACCTCGACATCTACACGCATCTAGAATTCATGCCATCCAGATTCCAAAGTAAGAGTCAAACCGTCAGATAAAGTCAAGATGAAAAATGTTGATATATGCATGGGGTTAGCCATAGTGACTCTAGCACGTTATGGCATACAATCACCATTAATTTTTTTTACTAAAGTGATGAACCCACAAATCCAACAACACCCAAGCTTATCCAGATCAACTGTCTATCCCAATTCCCCTAGCTCAGGTCCATTCCCCAAGCTGTGGCTTATCAAACTCAAAAGTAAGTGATAGTTTATTTCCACTTAACTTTGCCGCTCAAAGTATCTTTTTTTTCAAATTTGTGGTTAATGGCTTTTTAAGAGGGCAGAGTTGTTTTGAGCAAAAAAAATAATCCATTTAAAAACAATAAGGATTATTGAACACTCAAAAGATATAATCTTCTCTTTCAATTCTGTAGAGTATGTATGTGAAAAAAGTGTTCAGAAATCTAAACAGACGTCATCCTTTGAAGGGTTTTTCTAAAAAAAAATGCAGAAAGGCACCAGTGCAGAAAGGGGGGAAGTTGGAAAGAAAGAGCTGCTTAGGACCACTTCCACAGTGGACCAATCTTACATCTCAAGTCTTTAGGATCTCAGTTCAAGGAGTGTATATGCATTCAATGAGAGTTGAATGAGTTGAGACTGGAATGATGAGGCTCCAAAGTCAGGATGGGGGTGCAAAAAAAATAACATGCCTGGGCGCTGGGTGTGCCTAAACATCTTGGAAACAAGGTGGGCGTGGCCAAAGGCCTGTATGCCTCATAGTGAGAAAGTGGGGCTTTCCAGGTGTTTATTTTCTTATAAAATACATTTCAAGTTATTTTATGAATCAACTTCAATTAACAATTGACCTTCAAGAAATCCATCTTCTACCTTATCAGCAACAACTATGTATTTAAGGTTGGTTAAAATGCATTTCCTGGATTTTGTTCACATTTTTTTCATGGTTTTTCATTTTTGTGCGGTGAACCGCCACGCCAGTGGCGCCTAGACGCACCCGTTTTTCACAAAACGTGCCAGGGCATGCCTTTTGTTTTAAGGCTGCACCCTATCCTGACTCCAAAACACATAAGTGACACACAGATGATATGAGACCGTATCAACTGATAATTTCTTGTGTACCTCTTTAACAAGCTATATTTGCAAGAGACATAACTCATGTTGCTTCTTTGATTTGATTTGTTATAAATCTTTCCCTTTGAAGACACTCAGCTCAAGTTTCATTTCCGTTTGGTACTTTGGTGATCAGGTACAAGTCAATTCAAGCAATTAGACTCTCACAGTGAAGTTGGAAATTAAGTACAGCCCTTCAGGAAAATTATGTTCTACAGATTCTTTTTTATTTATTTCTTGCACATAAAGTTTGTGCCAAAACACAGCCAATACAGTGATGTAATTGTGCCATATGCTAAAATGAGCTGTGGGCTAGGGTATCCTTCATGATCTCCTTACCTTCATTTCATATGGGTTCAGCTCAAAACAGGAATTTGTACTGCCTCACTCATACCACACAACATCACTCTAGCTGATCCTATCAACCCTACTAATCCATCCATCAATCCAATCCATTTGCTCCAACCAATCCATCCAATGTAATTGATTATCTGGTCTCCATGTGGTGATTCACAGATCCTTGGTGAAAAAGCGTCCCCTGTTTGGACACTAGACCTTAATTGCAGCAGACCAAGCCACCATGCCCATACCTTTACCTTGAGTTTCAACCCTGGCTGCCACTTCTGCTGTGAATATAATCCATCTTGATAGATGAAGAGGGGATGAACTTCTGTATGCTTTTCAATAATGCATGTCCAAAATCCTCACTCACCATCATACTTTTTTTCTCTTATCTTTTCACCCTTGTTTCCACTTTTATAAATTTACCTGTTGATAGCATTGACCATTGACCTATTGATGTGTGTGACAGCTGTTCATTGGTCACCCCAATCACTGAAGCAATGAAGCTTCCTGAACATACCATTGAGATCTTGTTCAATTAGGGGATACAAAGTTGAATCTGGCCACACGGCCAGATTTTTGGCCAGATCTCATTTGGCTGTAAATCCAAATCTTGTGGCCAGATCTTTGGCCAGAAAATCTAAGTTTACAGCCAAATGAAATCTGGCCAAAGATCCGGCTGCATGGCCAGATTCAACTTTGTATCCCCCAAATATACACTAATTCAACGTTTCCAAAACCGTCTCTGTTGCAAAACCAACTAAGAAAGCTCACAGACATGCCGTAAGGTAGGCTCCAAAGGTTGCTAAGGCCCAATGGAAAAAATTCTAGCCCTCTCCACATCACTGTGCTCTACACTGTGTCTGGGTAGGGCTTGCTTGTCAACAAGCGCACACCAACTCCCTTTGAGGCAGAAAGGGAAGTTGTGCACACTTGCCAACAAGCAAACACTACCTGGACATGGTGATACCTGTTGGATCTTTCAGATTGATCATCTATAAAAAAAATTGAGGCATGCAATTCTTGGCTTCCTGGAAAATCCAATGCTCTACTCACCACTGACAAAACGGGACTGATGGCTTCTCTCAACACTACCAATTGCAATAACAAGGCACACTGCAGCTTTCTGACTGACAGATGTGAGTTTTTATAGATTTGCAGATGCTGTCCTTGATGTCCCATCCAAGGAAGTTATGGGCTTCAGGAGCACACATCCAAACCTCATTGGTGTCAACTTTCAATCCCAATGAGCCATCTGACCCTCTGTCTGAGGGGAAGGATTTAGAGTCCGCAGGGGTGATCAACTTTGTTTTGTATCATATTTGATTCATTTTTTCTCATTTTTTCTTTTCAGTCAAATCACCTTACCAATGGTCAAAATCAATAAAAGGTTTTGATGAAGTGTTTTGAAGCTGAACTTGAGGCTGGCAAGAGTCTGGCAACAACTGTCAATCCAGACAAGAACCCCTCTCAAGTTTTACTTCTCTACACATTTCACATTTGAGTATGGGCAGATGACTGGGTCAGTATTTGTTTTTTCTTCATTGTCTTTTTGCCTTGCCAGACTTCTATCTCACTAACCCATTTTCTCTCATAGTTGGATGAAATTGCAGGGGTTGATGACATCAATTGACATGTGGATTGACCAGCTTTTAAATGGGTCCTGGTTTCCCAGTAAAAACACAGAAGGCTGAGATTCTAGGATTAGAAGACCCTCAAACCACAGCTACCAATTCTAACTCTTTGAATTTGGCAGCCAATTTCATTCATCATAACTACTATGGTCAAGTTCCCAGTCGGGGTCCGTTGGTAAACCCCTTTGCAAATCCAAACATGATGTTTGGGCCGCCTATTCCCGGTTCCCAGCCTCACCCAGTCAAGAGTGCTCTCATTTAATGCCTCTCCCACTTGGCTGACAACCTCCCCTTGATGTTTTCTGGGATTTGTGATGATATGATGAAGACACACAAGGTATTAGAGAACAAAGGCATTGAAGACTGTGGTTTTCTACTTTACCACAACACTTATTCAATATTCAAGTTGCACTCTTTTGGTACATTTTGCTCATGTGGATGAAATTTGCAAAGCTGTTCCCAAGTTCTTTCATCAAATGAAGACCAAGAATCACCATTGATCTTGATTTGTTTTCCAGCCACCACCTGCAAAAAACAAAGACTAGACTGTTCATATTGTATTTTATTTTTCATGACTTGTCATCATCTTTTCCTATTATCATTGTTTCATGACTTTTCATGAGAATATCCTTCTCTACCTTGTTTTGCTATGCAATTTTTTGTCATCCCCACTCCAAGCTTGTTGATGTTGATCATACATCTCTGTAGTCATCACTTTATGTGTCATTTATCATAGTTTGTAGTCCTTGATTTATGAAAATTATGTTTGTTTGTTAGCTCTTGACTTACACTTTGTGTATATTGGTGAGTATAAGAATAAATCCATTTTTAAGGTAGAGGAACTCTGTCTCTTCACCTTATATCCCTATATCCATGCAACCACCACTTGGATGATCAACTGAAGGTGTGTGATCAAACTTCAATGGGTGAAGACAACTGATATCCTAATCCAATATCTTAACACATCCACAAGAGGCCTTTGATTGCCCTTGGTCTAGATATTGATTATTTCAACCTACTGATTCCCCTTCCCTTTCTGCTTCTTCACACTCCTCCTGATTTCTCTTTATTTTTTGCTCCTTCATCAATTCCCTCCTACCATCAACATAATCTTCATGCCTTGAGATATGAAGAATCCTAATCTTGCCAATATCATCTGGTATTGGAAACACATTCCTTGAAATCAGACAGACGCCCTTCCTTTGCAATATCCTCTCACATGCACCCTTATGTTCTTGCGGGTCCAGGCCAATGTCATCATTGTGGTGAACTTGAGAACCAACAGTGTTTGTGTCTTATGAAGGAGAGAACAGTCTCCCTTGTTTGGACACAAAACCTTATTTGCAACAGAACAACCCACCATACCCATCCCTTGATTTTTGACCCTGGCTGCCACTTCTGCTGTGATCATTCTTGATAGATGATGAAGGGATGACCTTCTGTATGCTTTTCAATTATGCATGTCCAAAATCCAATTCCTCACTCACCATCAAAGATGAGAAGAAAGGAGACCAGGTGTTAGCTTTCCCTCACTGAGGCTGTGTCAAGAACATGAAGCCTGTCAACATGCTGGAAGGAAACCTTGGCTTATTGAACTGGTAGCCTCCAGTGTCAATGTCCCCCCACCAGTGATTGGACCACTCATATCCACTTGGTGTATCATCCATTGTATCCTGTTTTATTGTTGTCAGATGAGGATTGTCTAGGGGAATTGGTTGCTGATGTAGATGTCGGTAAGCCATCTCTCTTTCCTCACTCATAATGTGCTTTTGAATATATACTGATTCAAGTTGCAGATTTGAATGCTTTAGATGGCAACCCAGAAACACCCAACCAACCAGATGACATCATATTGATTGAAAAGAAAAGTTTGATAGAGGTTGGTAAGCCATCTGACTCCCCACGTGCTCTTGAATCCATTCTCATTCAAGTGTGAAAATCAAATGTCTTGGATGACAACCTAGTTGTCCCCAACCATCCAGACGATATCATTTTGATCAATGAGTGAAGTATGATATATGCCAGTAATCCATCTTTCTCACTCCTCATGTGCTCTTGAATCAATTCCAAAATCAACATCTTCTAGGAGGTTGCATGTGGGTCTTGCATGGTGGTGGTGAGTGATAATGCAGATGGCTTAAAGGCTTAGGGACTCAATATAGTAGAGGTACTTCAGTCTTATTCAAATTGTAAGTCAACAAAACATTTTTGGAATGTAACAATACCACTTTGATCCATTGCATCACAAAGCCACCCTAAAACTAATAGCCACATGTGGTGTATAACTTGTGCATGAGGCTCCCTGTGAAAGGTGCTCAAGTCAAATTCTCAATAGTTTTGATCTTCTCAGTGGCCGCGGAGGCTGTAAGACATGCCATTTTGAGAAAACAGGCTTTCAGGATGCTCAATGCCTTCTCAATAGGGTCAAAGTTTGCAGAGTAGGGGGGTAAGTAGATCATGTGAATCCCATTCTCCTCAGTCAGTTCTTCTATCCAAACACCAAGATGAATGCACAAATTATCCATGATCAATCCAGAATTTGGCTTTGGGTATGGATTTGGTACAGGACACCACCACAGAGGAATTTCAAAAAAATCTGGCGACATAGATGAGAAAGTAAATTGAGATTGTGACTGACCAGTTGGTGTTTAATAAAGGCTTTGAAATCTTTGAAAAGAAACCTACCCTCCTGGAAACCCATTGCTACAACCCTGCCCTTGGAAATTGCAGACAATAGAGAGTATTGCTTTCCACTGCAGCTCCAGGGAAGTCTTTTGGTATGATGTCCTTGCATGCCCCATCCATTCTATCTTTGGAGGCTCTGTTCTGGCAGTGGAATGGCACATTCATTTAATGCAATGACAAGTTAAGTTTGGAACAATCAAATCAATGAATAGAAATTATTCCCGCATACCTAAGAAAACCATCATTTTGGGTTGCAATTCACCCATCTCATATAAAAAGCAAGCTCTTTGGTTGGCGGATTGTTTTGGGTGGATGGTGTGTGATTTCTTCCAACTGGGTGATAGGTGTGATTTCATATCCTTGGCAATGGTCTTAATCAAGACCCATCTGCCTGACTGTTGATAGGTGGTGGCATGAACTGTGTTTCAGGGTTCTCTTTGATGGGTGTCATCATGATATCTCAATGTTTGTTGTTCAATTGGGTATTGCAGCCACTTTAAATATTTTTATGGATTGAAAATCACACAGTATGTTTGGTGGTACAAGGATTTCCATTGTGTGATTGTGCGCAGCCTGACTGAGGATCACAGCTAATGTTGGACCTCTAATTGAGTGAAGCCTTCTTGAACGTATGTGACAGCCAGTACCTTGATACTGGTATTCTACTTTCCAGGTTGTGCTGTTTGTACTTGTTTCATGTTTTGGATTGTAATCATGAAATGAGAGTCAGTCAAATTCTTTTTAAGGAAAACAAGGAGATAGAAAAACTGGCCTAAGATGAGAGAAAGAGTAACAAATACAGATAGGGAGATATGAGTGGTGGAACAAACGGACAAGGAGGAGGTGATTGTGACTGGGTGGATGGGGGAATTGCTGGCAGTGGGCTGGTAGAAGGGAAGAGTGTGGAGGATACATGGCCCTCATTCCTGGGATTTTGAGCATCTGTGTCAATGAGCTTTATTACAGTGCTGTATTGGCTATATTTGGGCACAAACTTTATGTGCAAGAAATAGAGATAAAATCAAACAGGACACAAATTTCCTGAAGACCTGTATATATAACTTTTTTCAAAGTTGAAATCTTTAGATTTACCCTCCAATCTTTTCTACTTGTAACTTTATTTCTCCAAGTACTGATCCTTCCCTTGCCTAGGACAGCTAGGTAAGGTGAGGTAATAGTTTGATGTTGGCTGAAAGTCCTTTCTGAAGGGTAAATGTTAGCAACAGGTTGGTCAGTGAGACACCTCTGGGCCAACACATCTTCACTACTATGGCACAGCCTGTGTAAAGTTATTCACTTGGGGCCTGAAAGTCTTGACAATCCAATGGTTGGAGTCTTGGAGATTTTTCTACACTAGAAATAGGGTTTTCCCATAATGTTCACATCAGTTCTTTGTGCCCAGGACCAAGAGTGGCTTGAGGTGGGAAAGCTCATTTTTCAATCTTTACACATACACTGAATTCTATAGTGATGGTTCCATGAAGGATGGAAGTTCTACCACCTTTCAGATTATTAGATTTTGTCAATTTATGAACTTTAGGTCATTGATTCAATATTTTGAATTTGATAAATACCAATTCTCAAGGAGACACAATCCAGACTCTTGAACTTTGTAATCCTCTCTGTAAAAAAGTGGTGCCATCCTGTACCATCCTCTTTGATGAGACTGATTTTTTTGTGTCAAATATTTTTAGTGCAGGATTAATTTCAATCCATGAATGATGGTAAAGGCAGACATTGGGCTTTGATCTTCTCAATTTATGTTGCTCACAAACACTGTTATGTTTCAGTGAACTCTATCATTTCTTAGGACAATAAATTCCATTACAATTTTTTTTATCTGTCAGTTGAATTATTTGACACAATTTTGAATAATTGTTCCTTCCCTCATCATCCTCTGAAAGAACATTCAAAATACAACAAAGACCAAATTTAGGTTATAGGTACTTATTTTGTTCAGTAGCATTCTGTGACAATGCAGTTGTTGTTGTGTTTTGTTCTTTCTATTCTTGTCTATGATTGATTATTGTATGTGGCATGTTTTGAACATCACCACCAAGTGACTTTAATGTAAACTCCATTTAGCTCATATTACCACAGGCCCATCTGCTCATCGATGTTTTTCTCACTTATGAAACTTATTACTTGAAGGTATTTCTTTATTACTTTTTATTTCCATATCATTATATATCCAACTACCTTTGTGTTGGTGTTTCTTCCCTATCTTTTGACTTTGTTGTGGTCAGTTTAGTATCAAGGTCTACATACCTTTGGTTAGGAGAAGAGTGCTCACATAGTGGACTTTGTTATGGGGTTGCAAATGTCTTCTTGGACATTTACAAGAACCTCTACTGGGGGTACACAAATCCAGCGCCTGAAGATATCTAGGCAAAGGTAAATTGCTCATCTGAGGTTCACTGTCTGAATTAGCTATGTACCAATCCAATATTATTTGATGTACTCTTTAACACTCAAAACCTTGCCACCCTTTTCAAAATTCCCTTGCCCATATTTCACATAGCCTCATGAATTAGTTAATGAGTATCCAGTAAATATTCCTCTTGCGGAGCGCCATGTTGAAAAGTTTGTGATCAATCAAATGATTATGAAATTGTAATTCACACTAGACGTCTTCTATCTTATCCCTTTTGCTATCACCAAACTTTATCAGGCTATTCAATGTGCACTACCATCTTATATTTACCATCTGGTTTCACCATAAGTTATCCACAAAGCTCATGGGAGCAAAACGTTGACCAACAAATTGAGGCAGCTTCTTCATGTTCCTTGAGATGTTTGAAAAATCTTGCTAAACCACGAGATCGAGCTGAACTAGAGCGCTAAAATCTGGTCATACTGATTGACGATTTCAAGCTTTGAATACATTTAACAGTTCAACTTCTGAGGAGTTATCGGATATGGAATATGAACACCACTTTCTTGACGGTGTTGATCGTGTTGATGGTGTTGATCAATGGATTGAAGTTACAACGCTGCAATTTACATGAAATTGGAATGATGTCATCATCTAGAACAGCACGGTCAATGACATTTACTATGACGTCAAGATTGAGTGAGTTTGATGAAAATGAATGATTTAAACTCCTCAATTGACCAAGTTTATTACCATTTCTGATTTCTCATTCAGATCACTTTACCATTTACCATCTCATACTATTCACAAGAACAATCTTATATCAAACAACGGTAAACAGCACTATGATTTCTATCATCAACTCATTGAAAGTCGTACCAAAACCTTACTTCGTTCCATTTGTTAACCATCTATATCGCTTTAGCACAGTTTCAATCATGGACCCTGATCCCTACACTGAGAAGGCAGCTAAAGATGCTTCACCTGATGAAAAGGTTAAAGAAGGTCATTTATCTTTCTCTTTTAATTCTCAATCAAAACGGTTTTGAAGTCTCTTTATCATATCATGATTGAAAGCTGATAACTCTTGGGACTTATCTCCCCAAACAACACAGTCGAAGCTATCGTGGACACAGTTCAAAGTATTCTATCACTCACTCTATATTGATAGCTATACCACTATTGAATCTTACACTTTTGATTCATCTTAGCTGCTATGTTCACGACCCGTCATTCGGATGGAACTTTAAACTCCCGTGCCATGCATCCATCTTCGAAAAGAGGTTTAGTATTCGAATTCATCGCTAATAATCATTCTGGTTGGCTTTTATTTCATCTTATATAACTTTCAAGAGTATATATGCGATTAAAACCTTTTTGACATTTCGAATGATAACCTATCATTCGTAATCACAGGAAAGTTTGAAGAAATCAACCAAGATCACGCTTGTAATGTCTCATTTTACGATACCTCATCAACTGATTGGGTATCCGTAGCAGGTCAGTCATAATCAAATACCAATAACTCATGTTCTATTATGCTCTTATCTGAACACAATGGTCATTAATGGTCGATCTTTCTCCATCATCATAGGTGAGGCCAAGGTCATTAATGATCATGAGGAGATCAAAAAGATTTGGAGTCCATCTGTCAAGGCGTGGTTTGGTGACTTGGGGGACGGTAAACATACTGGAAATTACGATGATCCAAGAGTTTCAGCAATTCAAGTCATACCCACCGAAATTCGTTATGTGAGTGATGAAGATCCCCTAATCTAACCTGACTGTTCACTTACCCATCTTCTGTTTAACTTTCGTTTTGATTTGCGATCTTTACCTTTTCATCATCACCAGTGGCATGCAAAAAGTAAACTCTCACAAACTGTGGAGATTGCTAAGGCTCGCGTGACTGGAAATACTGCGGTGCCAGGTGTTCTCCGAGTGCTTAACTCATCCGAGCTTACGAAACTTAGAGAGCTATGCGGCAAAAACGTATAAAGCTCTTTAGAAGCCTTTATTAAATAAATTTGAGTTGCATTGCAAGCTTTACTCATCTCTTTCACAACAAAATTATTGAACCTATCCTACAAAAAAAATCGTATCATTGTTTTTGTTCAATTTCAACATTATTCATGTATCCTTTTGCATTTTGAAGAGTTCAATATCATTTGCGCTGCATTCGATCCACGGTGTAATTTGCGATAAATCCTAAAAAAAACATGAAGTGCTTGGTACTGAGCTGGGTTCGAGTACCGTGATCATGCTCCCTTACAAGGTAATCAAAAAGGCTCCCTGAAAAACGCTCTACCCTCAGGTTATAGGATGTATATGTTGGCAGTAAGCCTCACAAGGAGCAAAAAGGAATCAATTGATAATCTTAATTTCAAATATCAAATTCGAAGTTAAGATTTGTTGAATTGACAAGAAGCAAACAAACAGAAAGCATAGTAAGTAATCAATCTGGTATTTTAGATTTCTTACTTTAAGAGAAAAGTAATGTAAAGTTGATTTTCCAAACGAAAAAGTAAAAGAAAAAAAACGTTACAATTGATAGGTTTAAGAAGATTGTGAAAGAAGAAAAAAGAAAATGGGGATTTGTTTACATCTCTTCGTTTCCTATTGACTTTACAATAAGATTGTATAATAAGAACAAATTTCAAAAACTGAAGATAAACCAAACATAAACTTTGATGACAATGAAAGAAAAAGACAAGTAGTATTCACAAAGCCTATGTTTCGAAAAAAGACTTTTTCAATTTTCATCAAATCTGTTTTTTGCTTCAGAGTTTGATAATTTGTTTGATTTCATTTGGTTAGTTTAATCCTTTTTGCATTTGAAGTAGATTTCTTTGGATTAGATTTAATACTACGAGAAGAAGTTGAATTTGAGTTCAAAGATTCAGTTTCATTGGTTGGTTCTGGCTGGTGGTTAGAAACCAAATTGGTTTCTAAATCTTTTGTAATCGATTGAACAGTGTTTGATTTATTGGCTGCTTGTTCTACAATTAAACCTCTTAACCCTATCAGTCGAAACAGAAAAAAGATGATGATGTGTTAGATCGATTTCAAAAGACTTTTTTTGGGGGGGATCCTTTCAAAGGTTGGGATTCGATTCGAAAAAACCTTACATTTGTTTTCTTGTTTTAAACTTTCGACTTCTTTTTCTAATTCGTTTACTTTATCTTTCATTTCTTTAGCAGATCTTTCGATCTCTTGTTCTTTCAATTTCTTCTTCATTCTAAATCGAGCTATTTCAGGACCCCCCAAAAAATGAAAAGTCAAGAGATAAGTTTACCATCAAAAGAGACTCATTTAAACTTATATATTCTTCGTTCTGTTTAGAAACGATGAGCGAAAAGAAAAAAGAGTAGAGAGAAGACAGACCAGAGGCAAGAGTGTTCCTTCTTCGCTTATCATCTTCAATTGCCACCTTATTCGCTTCATCATCATCTAACTCAGGTTTCTCAGTAGAAGGAGTCCCTTCTACATTCTTGTTTTGAAGGGTTTGACTTTCAGGACTTTGAGAAACCGAAAGATTAGAAGGAATAGGTAAGAGAGATTTAGGAGAGAATTGAACCGATAAATCTTGAGAAGAATCTAAAACTGGAGTAGTGATAGAAATAGAATCGGTAGGGATCGGATCGGGTATGATTGGAGCGGATAAGTTGGATACAAGATGGTTTGATGAACTTAGGTTGTGATGAGTAGGATCAGTTGGTTGAAAGAAATTAGGACTAGGAAAACTAAACAATTCATCAAACGTTTTCGAAGTCTCATTAAGAGGTTGATTTAAATCAGTGTTTAATCCATGATGATGATTCAATCCATGATGATGATGATGATGGTTGGGGAGATTCGTATCGGTTGTGGTGATAGGATCTAAATCAAAATTAAAATCGATATTCGTCCATGCTTCTAGTTGTCGATCAAGTTCGATAGAATGTAATGAAAGGTCTTGTGGAGATTGATTTGGATTTAAATTGTTTGAAAGTTCTCTTGATGATGGATTGGGTGATAATAAATTTAAATGTAAAAATGGCCAATCGGTTGCCATTGTTTTTTTTTTCGTCCTTCAATATACGATTTTGATTTGGTTATGTAAACTCAAAATCTAACTTGGAGTTATGATCCAATGTATTTCTTTTGTGTTGATTGAGGTTTTTTGGAATTTTTTAGTGGAATCGTTAAAGGTTAGGATCGGAATGTTTTAGTTTAAGAAGTGAAGTGTTTGATTTAATTCAATTCAAATTTGTAAAATCAATCGAAATCCATGAAACACTTTGGATAAGGCTCAAGACAGAGATAGAGAGAAAGAGAGAGAGAGAGAGTTCATATATATAGGGTACTTAAGCTTAAGTACCTACCTGACTTAACTCATTTCAAGTGTTTCAACATCGAAGCAGTCTCGGGGATTTTTCCAAATTCTGTCCAAAGTTTCAAATCATAAACAAATTCGAAAGCTTCATTGATCTCTTTTACGCCGTCATTTTACATAAACGAACGCCACTTTCACTTCACTTGGCGCTTTGATTGATCTCGATTAATTAAGAGATCACAAAAGAAAGGGGCATATTCCAAGTTTTTAAAAATCTCCAATTCTCTCATATCTCCACAATCACCCGGAAAATGAAACAAGACATCTTGAAGTCAGATCTCATGATATGTACTTTCTAAATGATTGTTTCACATCTGGGTACTTTTTAAACATTTCTCCACACTTATTCAGTTGGATTTGTAGGGGGATTCTGATGGTTTAGGATGGTTTACATAGATTTGAATGTTGATTGTTTGTGAGAGATCTTCAAGTAAGGTTTCATTCGATCTTTTCAACTGGGATTTCTTATCTATCCATTCATCTTTTTTTTTCAAAATTATAGTTTAAAGTTTCAAAGATGTGATTTGTTTTTACAATCAAAATCACACATTTCTTGTAATATGTATCTGCCTTTATCTTACACAAAGTAAATTTATTGAATCTCATGATCAAAATCATTTCCAAATCACATCATGGATATCCAAGTCTTGTTGAGTTCTTGAATTTTTGGTACCAGAGACCTAGAAAGTCTTGGGGTGGGTGTGATGCCAAAGGTGTACCAAAAAAACACAAAATGAGGGATAAGTGCACACTAGACTCAAGCTTTACCACTGTGGTATACATCTTTTTGAACATTCTTTTACTCTTCTAGTACTCCAACAGCCTCTGATCATGTCAATGGAAAAGACCAAGACAAAAAACCAAGTGGATTTGACCAACATATTGGTAGGATTTCTGTTCTTGGTATATCTTGAAAAATGTGTTGTATTAAATACAGACAAACCAGAAATTGTAACTTACTATGATCAGTATTGCCACTCCAATATGTATCACAAAAGCTTGTTTATCAGAAAATCAAGATTGAATTTGAAAGGAAAAAGATAATTGGTGAGCTTAGCTTACAATTTCTTTCTGGATCCAGGACCAAAGTGATGACAAAGTAGTTCAGAAAATCCTTACCCTGGGATTGATCCTGGTCACCATTGGCAGGCTTCAAGTTGGGTTAGGGTTAGGGTTAGGGATCCCAGCCCTTCAAAATGTATTTTTTGAAAAAAAAGGCCATGAGTGGGCTTCTCAGGGAGGGCTTCCTCAGTGCAGTTTAGGGCTTGTTTGGTCACAATCAACCTCACAGGTTACAAGTAGACAACAACTACCTTGCAAATTCTTCAAGAGCTGGTTGTGTGCAGTAGTACAGACTTGATGATCTTGAAAACCCAAAGATCATGGGTTTTGAGAATAACTTGCTTGACAACAAATGCAGAGTGGACTACCAAGACTCCATCAAATTTAATTTGATGGCAGTAGTCAGGGAAACATACCAGAATTTACAATTTACCTAAAAAGCCAACCTGACTGGCAGACCTGCAACAAATTTGAGGTGTATGTTTCAAGTTTACTCTTTTTGAAAATATGTGTACCAAACCACTCAACACCCAGGTGCATGCTTCAAGCTGCTTCAAGGTGTACAGCTGAAAATTTGACTGTGTCAACCTGCAAACTGAACAGCTACCAAACAGACCTTTGAAGATTCAGTTTCCAAGCGTAATTGTGATGTAGGGACAGTGCATTCTAGGTGTCTTTTTTCAACTTAAACCTACCTGATGGCTATACACCCCTTTATGTCATATTTGACTCACTGCCACAACTTGCAACATGTTACAATTGCAACATAAAGTAATTTTCATGTGGGACAATTGATTATATTTAGAGCAACAAATGATTGAAAATGCATTACATCAGCATTCAATCAGCATCAAAGCAGCATTATTCAGCAGTAAAACATCATTGTTGATTATTTGATGCATTAATTTTAAACATTTTTTCCACAGGGAGAATACTTTATGCTGGTAGTGTTACTTAGGTTTAGTTTCATTAAAGGAACCTCAAGAGGTTGTTAAAGAGTTTAAACAAGCCAACTTACAGCAACAAATCACTGAGTCCCAATTCCCTACACCTAGCTGGGGTCAAAAAACTGATTGAACATCCCTTGAAGGAGTGTGGTGGTAGTTTCATAAAGTGATGATGCAATCCTAGCCACAATTCAAGACAACCTTACCACCTGGGCCTGTCCTTGTACCACCAACATAGATGCTTTACTTTACAGAATCCGAGGCGTCATTGGATTCAAATTCTCAGACAGACCTTGTCGAACTCCAAGGTTTCTCTCCGAGGTATTTTTTGTGCCAAAGATTCCTTTGGATCAAAAACTTGAAGAAAAATGTGTTCAAGGATTCAAGTCCCAGGATACCTCAGATTTTTCAATCAAAGGCAACCTACCAATCCCACACATGCAGTGACTTGCCAGTGACTTCAGTACTGCACTGCTACTTATCCTCATTGCTTTCCATACTTCCTTTTCATTGGGTGAGGAAGGACCAAAAGATGACCAATCACTCACTTCTAACGTCATGATACTAACAGAAAGACAAAAAGGGAACCAATTTGAAGAAGTACAATATGGGTAGTGTAATATAGGTAGGACGCGACAAGGCCTGGAAAAGATACTGATTGATTAAGTGCGGTGCTTCGGAATCGCAGATAGTTTACCACTCGAATTCGCTGAAAGATAATGAGATGTAAATATGGACCCTAGTAGATTGCAAAGTTGATCAAGGAAAGGGGCCTACCCATTACACTTGTGAAACACGTAATCCTTCCCCTGAACGGATACGATGCCGTCTTTCAACGTAATTTTCCACTTGTTCTTAACGCGTTGAACCTTGGTGTATCACACCAGGAAGTATTCTCAGCCAAACTTTTCGGAGACAGAACGATTGAGACTGCTCTTCTAGTGAGTGGCAAGAAGCCAAGTAAAGCGGCCTACTTTGTCATAGAGCGCAATCACAAGATCACCAGGATTATTGTTTCCGTTTGCACCACCGCCGTTTTCATTATCTTCTACATCCGCAGCATCTGCTTCATCTTCCGAATCGTCCAAGTCGGAATTGATTTCATCGGTATCATGATCGACTTTTTCAGATCGCTTGGATGGGGTGGTAGGAGCGGCTGGTTTGGATTCTGAAGTTGAAGCCTGTCTATCCTGCTCCGGATTTGGCATCAGCAACAACCAGGACAACTCTGTCGCATCATTGATGTGCGCAACTAACAGGTTCGGCAGAATCTTCAGGCTTGGGTAGCGCCGGTCCTAAAGCTTCTTGAATGGGGCCTAGCCGAGGGTCCGCCGAGAAGTCGGTCACCCTTGTAGCGGCCAACTTGGTTTCCCAAGACTGCAAGAGCGAGAGCAAGATTGTAAGCAATGTGCTACACAGGTGACGATCATCTTATGAGGCAATCTTAACTGCTTGCAATGCATCCAATACGGCTTGTTCGATTCCCATTTCATCGAAATCAGCTCGGCAATGTGTAACGACTTCATCGATGATGCTCCGGTAAGCTGGCGACTGTGAGCCATCGGAGGGAAACAATTAGCTGATGCTCAACGGGATAAGGCCGACTAAAGGTGATTCCTGCGCCACGAAATAGAGAACGCAGCGAAGAGCTTTAAAAATGAACCAATTCATCGGGGTCCAGGAGCCAAATGTGGACGGACAGATGGCTAGTCACGGCAAAGTACCCAGTGAGGCCATGGCCGTCTCTATGGACAGTACGTCGAAACGAGAAGAAGAATGAGAACGAAAAAAGCTCGGCTTACAACGACTCTTCCACTCATCTCACACTGTCGAAAAATTTGATGGCCTTAAATAAGCGCTCTACCACAGCTAACTGGACAAACGCAACGACGAACAGATGATTCGACAATCGTAAGATTCGGCACAAGAGTTGAGCGATGGAAGATTTCGAACGTTCAAGTTCGCTAATGATCGAGAACGACGTTGGGTTGTAGAGCAAAGCCCGTGCAGGTAAAGACTTGATTGCCTCTTGGTGCAACGAGAAACGCGAAATCAATTTGTGCGACTCTACTTACTCGAAGACGGGGTGGATTATGATCTCTCTCGAGGTGGATGATAGCCTTTACTCGTTAGGGAGCAATCGATGGATTTCAATTGCGGGATAGCGAAGGAATCGAGAAAGACGTGAATCGAACGTATCAATTTATAGTAAATGGGTGAGGGGTGGAAGTGCAAATGGTCCGCCACCCCAGGGGTACGCTCTATGTGTGAAAGGTTTGTGACAGCTTATGAGTGAAAGGCACTCTTGCCGATTATGTACCAGCACCGGGGCCGACCCTGAGCTCGCAAGGCCGGTTCAAAAGCGACCTTGCATCCAACCTCATCCAGCCCAAGCAGTCCCAAGCAACTTCAGTATCTCGGACTCCACCTTCCGTCGTCAATTTTTTCATCGCCTTACATAGTCCAGCTGAAGGAGATCTTGAGCTTCTACGCTTGATCAGTATGCAGGACCAAAAAGGAGCTACAATCGACCGTGGCGAAACAAAAGAACATTGGAGACCGATGAAGACCTGCTTAATCGCCTACCTGATGAAGTCCTTCTTGAGATCATAGGATACCTTCTCGACGATCGGTATGGCAGGAGTAAATTGAAGAAAATTGACTCGGGAATATGACTCCAATCTGGACAGCACACAACTTTATGGATCTGTCAACATAAACCGGAATCACCTATCCTGACTAGCTTTCAATCCTTTTCTGTCGTCAATCGTAGGATCTATTCGAGGTGTCGACCTATCATTAGGAAGGCGAGTAGGATTTCTCTTCTTGATCTTACCCAGGCATGGATGTCGTGTTCAAGTACTGGAGGTGGAGAAAAGAAGTGAATGGCTCGAACCACCAGAGGACTCTCTTTCTATAGAGCAAGCTGTCAGAGACTAAAATCGACGCCACTACCCACTGCCCTCTTCTGCTGATGTAACCAAAATCAAAGTTACTACAGATGATGAACAGTGCTCATTCTGACGGGCTAGCTGTCTGCTCTAAGGTTCTGGATTGCCTCAGGACGGATATCCCTAGGAAGCATAGCTTTGGAGGCGGAGGGGACATCACACTTCGCGAGTTACATGCCATCCTCCCAAAAGCCTCTTCAAATTGGTTTCTCATTGTCATTAGCTTACCACTCTCTGTCTCTACCGCCCACCTGATCTACACAAACATGAATCAATACAAATTGACCACTTTGGTGGCAACCTTGCAACAATATCTCCTGGTCTTGGAAGTCTTCAACATCTCACGTTCAGAGGTCAGCCAGACTCACCAACGTATATAGAATGTATAGTTGAAGGCATCAAACATCTTCCGCCACTCAAGCTCAGCAATGTTAAACAATCAACTCTCAGATATTATGAGGGCACTACCTGTCCCTCCCATCTGAAAACCCTCAAACAGCTGGTTTTGAGTGAAGTGTTCTTAATGGACAATGACAAGGGCACTCAAGGTCCCCACATTCAGTCAATCTTGCAATCCTTGAGCGTGGCATGTTCTTTTTATCAGCTTTGCCTTCTTTCATCAGTCCTTGGGCCCCTTGCCTAACACATTTTGAGCTCAAAATCAAAGAATACTGTTGCTCTTGAGATGAACTACCCAAGTTTGACCCAAATCACCATCAACTTTGTCTTCCAGCTTCAACACATTTGACCATATGACCATTTGACCATTTGACCATTTGACCATATTCCAAATGCCTGTATTTCTCTTGCTTTCAGAATTGTGAGAGTGCATGTCTCATAACATTCTATCAGTATCGTAACTACAACATTAACCTTGTGGCCAATCTTTCATAGCTTTCAGAGCTCATTACCGCCAATACATTTTCTGGACTTATGGTTTTGCCTATGGGATATGACAGATTTCCAATTGATCATATGGCTGCTATACTTTGTTCATTCAAGGTTTTCTGCAAGCCTCAAGGACTTGAACTGAAGGTTTCACCGCTTGAGCCAAAGAACCATAATTGACTTGAGAGAATGCTGTTTCAGTCATCAGAATGATTCTTGTCATGATCTTCAAGGGAGATGGATGTACTACGTCCATCTGGAAGCGGAGAGGCACTCGCATTTTAAGAGCGAGGTGTTGTGTGTGAACAAATAGGTAGACAACTTTAGTGGATGAATGTGATATTGTGGAATTTTGGACTTGCAATATAATTATCTTCTGACCAATGTGAAGATTTCTCAAAGATTCCAATCTTCTGGAAATACCTTGTATCTGCAACCGTAAGAAGCTGCTTTCCACAGGCAAGTGAAAAGGTCAGAATGAATCCTGGCTCTGAGGATCAGAATGACTCCTGCAGCTTCAAGGCAATCAAGTCAGAACATTCATGAAGAGCTCCTACAGATGTATGAAGTCTGTCAATACAGAATTGAACTACTAGATGCCACATAGTCTGAAATGTTACTTTCCAAAAATGACCAATTTTTTTTGCTCAATTATGTGCTTCACAGGCCCCTTACCCTGATCAGTATAAAAAACCTTATTTGTCAGTCTTATTGCACTATTTTCATGCTTAACTGTGTTTCTTCGGTGCAACATTGACTAGCTTGTACACCAAACAAATAAAGTGCTTTTAAATTTGGGCTATATCTATAAGTCTATCATCTATTACAATCAGATTTGATCCTATTGGTCTTTACAGGGGAAGAATGGAATGATAGGAGTCTAAAAGTTGATGAGTCCACAGAAAGATGATCATGCAAGAGAAAGATTGGAACAGAGGAACTCCAAGAGGAGACAAAGATGATGGAAAATGTACATTACTTTCCAACCTGTGCTCGAGTTGATTCTTTGTGATCTTGCTTCCCTAGTGGCTGTCTTCATCTCACAGTGTACAAGATTTATAACAAGGAAAGATAAACACTGGTCTTGTAAGCTCAAGAGGAGAATCCAGTCATTTAACAGGGGGCTTCACCATATTCATCTCTTGGAGAAAGGGATATCCATTTTTTCACAAGACAGTTGTCAAAGGGGAGAGCAGCTCAACAATTAAACATGGCAGTCTTAGTCAAAGGATAGGTGGAAGAGAAATTTTGGAACATACTCCAACTGAGATGACTGTAAAACATGTATTGTCCAGGTATTTTGCCTGTCAATTGCATTGACAGAGGGTAAAGCCAAGAATGTGTAACAATCCTGCCTGAAAAAGTTTCTGGTCCATTTTCCCTAGGTTGTTTTGGGGAAAAATTTCCTCTTCAGCACCTAATTTTCAGCAATTTTGGCCTTTATAGGTCCCCTAGAAATTGTAGCAAAACTGAATTCAATGATTGCTGAGACCAAAAACAAGCATCAATTCCAGTATCATCCTCAGTCCCCATCTGAGCCTTAGCTAATCAGCTGACCACTTAATAAGGTGCTAATGTAATGATCACATATCATTACAAGCATACTACATCACTACAAACATACAGACCTCAGATAAATAACCTCTAGACTTGACATTGTTGTTTTTCTTCTCACTCAAAGCTCCACATGGAACTGGATCCTTAGGGAATTGAGACTGATATCTTATCTCATATTCTTTGGAGTCAGAAATAAATAGTACACACTTTGGTTCTAGACTTCAAAGTCCACTTTGTGGCATTAGATCAGATGTTCCCTCCAAGAGAATCCCCTTCCTTCAAACATCCTTTTAGTGAGGACTATGGTCCTTTACAGCTAAGTCTGAAAATTTGATGGCTGCCCCAGATCTTTGTGAAAAAATATCTCTCATTTGTCCTTGACATATTTTGATAACACTCAATGAGCACATTGCAGCTGTCTAAGTATCATGGGTGAGCATTAAAGTTTAGTGGTGCATCATTTTGTCAAAAGGCAAGATTTGGTTTGGCAGGTGATATTACATTGTTGACTTTACCCACTGTATGATATCTCATCAGAAATTTATCTCCCCACCCTTTCTATTATACAAGTTTTAAAACTCCCTTGGTGACCAGGGGTACCTTATCATGGGAACAGCAACTGTATTGTACAGCTGCAGCATGAACTTTTGTATACAGGAATTTTAAAAGGTTCAGAAACAGTCTGGTGACTTTTAGCCGCAGCCATTGAACAATGGTAACCACATATTTGAATCAAAACTTTGTGTCACCTTGGATTTTTCTTTGCAATTTGCTTCTTGGAATCATATCCAATCTTCAAAGAAGTGTTTTATTGGGGTCTCATTTCAAAATATAACAATTATTGGTTTTGCATGTGGTTTAACTAGATTGGTCAACCTGACTGATTTTGCCTCTCAAATATAAATTTCATCTTCCCACAAGTAGAAAATCCTGATCTATTCAGTTTCTGAGACTCAATCCTGTCGATTAAATCTCTTCTTTATCAAATTTGAATCACTATGCATTCACCCTTTTACAGAACCTTACTTCTCTTGGTGCACTTCCATTTTACCTTTGATGGTTGTAAGTCACTTTCAAGGAGAGACCTGCAAGGTTAGCCGGATTTGATTCCCCTTATCATGATGATTTTGTACCAACTCACTCCCTTTTCAAAATGTGCTTGATTCTGCTGGGCCACTTTGATCAGGACTTGTACCTACCTTTGGTGAGGTCCAAATCTTCAAAGGAGTAGATGCTAGGGGATATGTACCAGATTTGCAGGGAGTCCAGATACCCCTTCAGGACCTTCGTAAACTTCAGAAAGAACCTGACCTCAAGACACAAGGATTCACTTATGTTTTGCGTGAATTTCCTTCAGATGCTTTGCATCTAGATGCATTTTCTGATGGGTATACAAAATTATTGGAAAGAGATGCTATAGCTCTGGTGAAAGAACTGTAAGTAACACAACTCAATCTATGATTGAAAAGGACAGGAAAAAGAAGGCTAATCTTCTTGCTCGACTTAGAACAAATTCACACTTAGCATTCTGTGTTTCACGTGGCCATAGAGGCAAAGACCCAACCACAGCCTCAGAGAAGCCAACACGTGGAATACACTCTGACATGTCATCAATTGGGGCCAAATTTATCAAAGAGAACTTTATAACCACAAGACTTAAAGCTTTGAATGATGCAAAAGCAAATGAATTTCTGGAGGAAATGAGGCAGGGAAACCATGTGGTGATATTGAATGTATGGAGACCAATCCAACAGGTTGAACGTGATCCTCTAGCCATTTGTGATTGGACAACAGTTTCAGATGAAGATCATTTGGACTTTGGTCATCATCCCATGGAAGCAGATAATGCAATTCAAGCCTGGAGCTATAACAAGAAACAAAGCTGGTATTATTTACCTCAACAACAACCAAATGAGGTCTTTGTCTTTGTACAACATGATAGTGCAGCACCAGATGGCCATGGAATGAATGTACCACATGCCTCTCCTGTATTACTAGGCACACCTGAAGATACAGATCATCGACTAAGCTATGATTTTAGAATTGCAGCAATTGTGGGTCCAGAGTTTGAGCTTGTTCATAACAGTAAAAGTAAAAATAAAAGAAAAAGAGAAAGCAAAGTCAGAAGTTTTTTTGAAATCACAAAATCAATCTTCAGAAACCCAATGAGAAGAAAGAACCCAGATATCATATGAAGCTGGCATAGCCTGTATGAAATGATTGTGATTCTGTGTGACTGTGTATATTTCTTAGTCTTCATTTCTTTATTTCAAATTGTTAAGATTTTTCATTCATTGTCTCTGTAGCACATGATGTTCTCTTGTCACTATATAAAACCAAAGTGGGATCTGATATTTCTCAATATTGATGAGAAAAATTGTACATAGGCAATTATTTCAGTAAAGATCAAAGTTGAAAACTCATCCAAATCACAAATCAAAGTGGTTTTGGGGTTCTATCATTGATGGCTATTCAGAATTACCCTCCACAGAGCATTTTTCAAAATCAATTTCTTTTGACTATTTCTGGTAGCAAGCCAAAGTCTAATGGACATGTATTTTTGGGTGTTATTACAGAATCACTGGTCTATGTTTTGTGATGCTTCCCTCTTGGCACTATAACAGGATTGTGGCGTGAGACACCAAACATGAAGAGAATCTCAGTACATTTGTCAATCTCATGCAAGCCCTCAATTCTCAACATGCTGATGACCCCAGGCTAATCTTGAGATCCCTCCATGAAGAGTATCTCACATTGAGACTTTTGAAAATGATTGGACAGCTGTTTTGGTCTTTCTATGTTGAAGAATGAACTTGAGAGCTTTACAAAGGAGACTGACAGTCTCACTACCTGAAATGCAATATTCTCTGAGCAGAAACAAAAACCAGGGTATACAAAAATATCACAATGTCAGGAAGAGAGCAAACATACCAAAAAATGTGTCTTGATCCCAGCTTTTGGACAACATGTTGGCATTTTTGGCATCCATCTTGGTTATTGTACTAACAATTAAACTTTATAATTATCAAGCAACAACATGTGACGAATGCTAAGATTGGGGCTTTAAATGTCAACACAGTATTTTGAACTCTAGCAAACACCCATAGGTTTGCATTTGCACTTAAAGGCTGTTGATGTTCTGTATTTAAATTGACCAAGGATTTCTCTGGCTATATGTGCAGAATGTTCAAAGATAGGATGTTTTTTGACCAGTTGAAGTTTAATTTGCTCAACAAGATACTTAGACAGGGAGATGGGCTTAGTGATTCACCAAGCAGCAAGGGGTTTGGTCCAGAACTGTCAAATATGTGGTGCTTGAAGATTTAGAAATGCTGGCTTGACAATATCAGGACCAAATTCCAGTATGTGCTACAGGCAGTCATTAGTTTTGATGGTTTATTGTCAGTACATTTGTCAATGTAGCCTCTGAAAATACAAAACAAATACTCAGATTGAACTTCTACACGCTGAAGAACAAGAAAGATAGCATGATTTTATTTGATGTGGATTTGTAATGACGCAATAGAGCAGAAGAATACCTGGACAGATAGCTGTAGGACATGAGCTCTATGAAAAGAATCAAATAGAAAGATGAACACTTGGTGGAAGAGATCAATGTCTTATAACCTGCAGTAGTACAGGGAGTAAGAGAACAAGAAGAACTATTTGTGCTTGTGAGCACAATTCCCATCATTATTGAAAGTGGAATTTTCCAAAATTTGTGTTTGTCAAGATCTGTTTACTTCTTCCTTGTGATACTTCAAATGCTTCAATTGTTTGCAATATTCATGTCTTCAATGTCATGATTCATATTGTGAACCTTTTGATTGGTATTGCCTGGTCTTTTGGATTATGAAACCAGAAATGGAGCATTAGATAACTCTTTTGAATCATTTTGAACAATGAAAAGAATCATCAAAAACACAGTAACAGACACTAAATGAAGTTTAAGAGTTCATCAGAATCAGATTTTGACTTCACCTGCCCATCACACAGGGTCAGATTTGTTCAAACCATTCTTAATTTTTGGACGTGAGATGTCAATTGTACTCAAGTTCTTCAGCGCATGGGTAATAAAGATTGTGTTCAATCGTGACAGGAGGCTTTATGATGATTACAATCAGTTGGAGAGTTTTGAGTGAAAGCCCTACTTGAACTCAAAATGATTTGCTTCTCTAGAGCCACCTTTCTTGTAATGCAGCCAGGGATACTTATCTATAATTCACCCATCATTTCTTCTCTTTTTGATTGTGAATGATAAACAAGTGAGCTTGTTACAGGCTATATGTGATGACTTCTTGGTAAAGATAATTTATAGGGTATGATGTCATGTGTGATTAATAACTCCGACTTTTTATTTGAATCTGCTTGAATTGATCTTGAAGTTTCCCGATTTCTCAGATCGATCGATCCTAACATTCGGAATTGGTTTTTGACTTGCAAAATGAATTTCAAGATCACAACGATGAGAATTCAAATCGATTGAACATCAAACTTCATCTCAGCTAGTGTTTGAAGCGAATACCAAACTCTCAACTCTAAACAATCGAACACACTCAAGTTTCAATCGAACTCGGGATTATCATTCTCGATGGCATTCTCAACTTATCACAAATGGTTTATCAAACTAACAAAAAACAATAAATCATCTAATCTCATCAAATCAAATCAAAGCTTTATTCAAGAAACACGTTCAAATCAATTCAGGAATCCATCGAATAAACCTTCAACTTTATTAAACACAAAGCTTCATCAAACAACTTCAGTTAAACCTCTCTACCTATCTCAATTTCATTTCACATTTCAACCCTTCAGATCAAATGGAACAATCATTCGTAGATTTCGTGCAACCCCTCCAAAGAAAGACGTAAGTTACATTCTCAAAATCTACACAGAAATCAAATAAGAATCAAATCTAAGTAGACTTTAAGTGTTTTTCTTTGGGTTTCTAGATCTTTGGCTTTGGAGTCTTTTCATGCTCAGTACCAATGTTTAAATCATATTTATTATCATTAACAAGAGCAACCTTATTAATCTTACCATTTTGGTATAGATGGAGATTATCAAAACATTTCCCTAGAGCCTCTAGAACTTTATTAACCATACCGATCTTTACAATCTGTTTAATCATTGCAATCGGTATAGATCAAAGTCAACGAACCTCACGTTGGAGATTATTATTGATGACCGAATCAGAAGAAGTAGAATGGTCACATCGAAGATTTGAAGAAGTTTTAAATACAGAATCTAAATCGATATTAAATCAACAAGATCATCGAATCAAACTAATTAAAAAGATTTGTGATCGATTGATCACAGCACTTGAAATCGAAACTCCAATCTCAGCCGCTACTTGGCCTAGAGATGAAATCGGAATCAAACAAAGAATGAAAAGGATCGAAGCTAGGAATGGAGTGAAACCTTCGGCTACTACTGGTTCTTCTCTGATGCCTTGGAAACCTGAAACGAGTAATCCGGAAAAGATTTTAGAGACTAGGGATTGGGATCTCTTTGTGATGTGAGTCCTTGCCTTTGAGTATTTGATTGTTTATCTTTAGACTGATTGAACGGTCTGTCTGGCTTCCTTTGGATAGTGATTTGCCTAAGATTAATGCATTTGTTTTACCAACCAAGGAAATCTTTGTTTATTCAGGTCTATTAGATCTCTTGGATGAAGATGAATCTCTTACAGCCGCAATCATTGCTCACGAGGTCTTTTAAGTCTCCTTCCTCACTACACTTTTTTCAATCGAACTCATTTACCTTTCTCTTCGATTTTGACTCTGATAGATCTCACATGTCATTGAAAGACATGCAGTCGAAAACATGGGATTCTCAGCTTTATCTGCAGTAGCATTTGATGTGATCAGAGGAATCTCATTTGCTTTAACCATTAGTTTCCCAATCGTTTCAGATGGATTAGCCACTATGATTAATTATTTGAATAATGTAGTGGCAGAAAGAGCTTATAGTAGGAAATTAGAAACGGAAGCTGACGAACTTGGACTCTTGGTTTGTTTATCCTATTCTCTTTCTCTCTCCACATTTTATTTTTGACAATATTAATGCAACTTTTATATAAAAACCGCAATAGATTATGGCTAGAGCTGGATATGATCCACGTGCTGCATTAGCATTATGGGGTTTATTAAATGAAGTTGAAAATGAACAAAAAGAAAGAGGTGAAGTGAATTGGTCAGATAAAGTTCCTTGGACACGAACTCATCCTACTGGTCAAAATCGTGAAACGGTAAGTGTTTTGAAATCATTCAGTTTCTTCCTTTCCTCTCTCTGTTATTTCATAGATAGGATGTAGCGTTGATTTATTTTTGGTTGTTTTTTTGATTAGGCTATTAGGAAAGCATTACCTAAAGCTATGAAAGTTTTTAATGATTCAATTAAACATCCTAAAGATTCAACCTCGATTAAAAATGAAACTAATCTGAAACTTGCAACATAGAAGAACTTGAAATTGTGTAAACATAATGATAATCTTAATAATTACAATAAAGGATTGGTTAATCTCTTTTGGATCTTTTTTTTTCTGATTTTCTTTTATGTAGGATATAGAATTGATTTTCCTTTTTTTTCTTACATCATCAACAACTGAGTTAACTTTTGTGTATTTTGATTTGATTTGATTTGATTTATGTAACATTTGTGTTGTTTTTGTTTGGTTATTACAAAATTGAATGTAATTTATTTTTCTATCAATTAATAAATCCAAACTCTTCAAGACCAAGTCAAATGTCAGCCCTAAGCCCTATTACTAGTACCAAAGCCTCCTGTCTTGCAACAATAAAGCATTTGTTCAAAGGTCAATTAACTGAAGTCAGTGCTCATTTGATCACACTCCTTCATTGATAACTTGGTTTAGAACCTTTAACCAAAGCTCTTGTGTGCTCAATAAACTTTGTTTATCAAGGAAACCTGATTCCTTAGTGGTTTACTTTCCCAAAAGACACTAGTAGCTCACATTGAAGAAGATAACAAGAATCCAATTATCAATCATTTGTAAAAATCTTGGATACTCAATTTCCTGTTTACCTTGGCTCTGAGTCTTGCCAATACATTTCCACACTGAGGTTGTTAATCAGTACTGGCAGCTCACAATTTTCATGAAAACAGACCAAAGTGTTTCCAAACTTCAAGTTAACACAAATCAATTCTTGACCAAGCAGGGTCAAGGCTTGAAATTGAACAAGGGACTTGAATCTAACATTGATTAAATAAAATCCCTTGGAGGTGGGTACCTTGGCATTTTCCTTGGGAGGAAAAACCAGCAGACAGATATCTGAAATCTAGTCCTCCAAAATCTGCTATCTGGTAAAATATGGTGGACCTTTTGTTGGCCAATTTGGTCTGCCAGCAGTGGGTCTGACTCTGGAATCTGGTAACCTGTGCTATCCAGTACAAAAGATCAAGCGCACCAGATTCAAGCCTGGGCCAACAATGCAGCACTCTGCAACACACATATTTGCAGCTGTGTTGCACCCCAACAAGCAACAAAAGGTAGCAACTCATGCTGTGTTGCACAAAGTGCTGCAACATCACAAAGTAAGGCTAGGTTGTGCAACACCTTGTCCTCCACCAAGGCACAATGCAACATATGCAACAACGCCAAAAAAACTGGAATCCTATTTTTTTAATTATAATTTGATTTATTTTGACTACATTGATGTTTAATTTATTAATGATCTGCAAATTCTGCCAGTGAAAATAAATTTTAAAGGAGTGAAACATAAATGTACAAAATCATTTTCAAACTTTACAAATCTTACAACTCAAAACAAACACCCCTTCTCATAATTTTACACTCTTTCTAAACTTGTACATCTATTCTTGAAAACCCTATATTTCTCAAAACTTCCAACCAATTTCTTTTTGAATGCTTTGAAACAAACCAAAAACTTGAATAAAAAAATCACATAATTAAATAAAATAAAAAACTTTTGCAAAACAAAAATCATGTGATGATCATGATTTCTTTTGTGTTTTAAAAAATCATTTTTCATTCTTGTTTTCAATTTTTCAATAAGAAAAACTTTTGACGAAATTGATTTAAATCTTTACTTTGACAAGATTCCATTAAATCGATCCTTTGAATCCTATTCACAAACAAACAAACAAAGCAAAAAACAATCAATAAATCTAAAGAACCAAGACTTTAAAAAGTTCAATTCATCAAAATCACTCACAAAGAACAATTGATTTCCAAGGTTTGCCAAAGTACTTCACTAGTCACTCCACTCGAACCTTGATCTTCGACCTGAGTTTCTAATCCAATCAAAAGATGTTCAATAGATTCCATATAATTACCTAAATTGATTAAAGAGATTGATAAATTATATCTAGCTCTAACATAACTAGGTAAAAGTTCTAATGCTCTCAAATAATACCTATAAAAACCCATAACATTTGTATTGACAGAAAAATTAGATTTTATGTTTGAAAAAAAACAAGATCAGAAAAAGAAGAAGAATCACTCAACTCAATAGCTTCATCAGCTTTTCCATTATTAGCTAAAGTAGCACCTAACCTATTAAACAAAATCGGATCTGATGGTCTAACCGATAAAGCCGTACCAAAACAATCACTTGCTTTTTCATATTCTTCTTTTCCATTAAACAATACACCTAATGCGATTTGTAAATCTTCATCTACAGTTACACATCCTTCTTCTCTACCACCTAATCTTGCTAAACTTAATAAAGTTTCAATCAAATTCGAATATCTTGCTTCTATCGATTCTTCTTCTTCTTCTGCTTCTTCTTCTTCTTTCATATGTCGCAAACCACTCATGTTGATCACATTGGAATATTTGTTAATCTTGGACATCGTATCTTCTGTCCATCTTTCCATCTCTCTTAATGATTCACTCTTTCGATTCTCATTACTATAACTGATTGATAAGGCTAATCTAGCATCCGATAAGTTGGGATCAAGTTCAAGTGATCGTTTCAAAGCTGCAATAGCTAATTTTTCTTGTTCATTAGCCTGTTGTCTTAATCCTAATTCATACCATGCTTGTCCTGAAGTCGGTTCATCTAACACTTTTCCTTCTTGTTCTAATACTGATTCAAGTAGTCCACCTCCAATCAAATCATGATGTGAATGATGATGAGTAGTATTCATCTCAGATCTCATAGATCTTTGTCTTCTAAATTTATAATCCGTTTCAGATTCGATTTGATCAATCAATCGAAATTGAGCTTCTACATCAAAGGCTTCTGTCCAATCTTCTTGTAATACATCCCATTCTTGTTGTTGTGCAGATGGAATGATATGTTGTCTCCTGATCCGTTCAGCTTCGATTTCAGGAATCGTTAATGGTCTTCCAAACATTCCACTAATATCATTAAGTTCATAATCATCTTCTAATTCTTCATTCCATAGCTCACTCGCTCCTGGTACTCTTGTTTCTGCCATCATCCTTTCGTATTTTGGATCATCAACTTTACTGGCTGCATTTAAAATTTCATCAATACCAACGGGCGGTCTGTTACTTCCTCCTTGTTGTTGATCATCTGATGTAAGTCTGGTCGATATATCTTCAAGGGTAGTTTGATCATTAAAACTACTATCAGGTAAAATATCAACTATCGCTTCAGACTGATATCCGAATCCACCATCACCTTGAAAAGCATTCATCTTTTTTCGAAGTTCTCGAGCTTGATCATCGGCTTCATAAACTTCATTCATCTCATTCAATCGATCATCCAAATCCTTCTTAGCAGACACTAAAGCTTCTTCTAACCTCTGTTCCGAACTTGATCCATTAAGATGGTTTTGATTCAAACTTAATCCCGAAGTCATCGAAGTCATACGATCTTCATAATCATTAGCCCATACTCCTCCCATTCCTCTATGATCTATGGATTGATCGATTTGAGGAGCTTTACCCTTCAAAGAGCTTGTAGAAGTTTGTTCGATCATTCGATCACCTTCTACTTTCACTTCACCATCTCTTAATTTCTTCATCAAATTCATAAAACTACTTTTTTCAAACTTATTGATCGTTTCAATCTTTGAACCTTGATCGATATCTGTATGAGTTTGTTTTTCGGCTCTTTGACGAGATTGAATGGTTTCGATTAACGAACCAGCTGTAAGAGCAAGTACATCATGAGATTCATTTGGAGTGATTGAATTGATTACATCTTGAGAAGTCTTGGTTATACTCGAAGGCGTTTTTTCTAATAAAGATTGATCCAGTTTATGGAAGACTGATTCCCATGATTCTTTATCGATTGATAATTGGCGAGTATCGTGAGCTAGGAGAAGATAAAAGAGACCATATTAGAGTCCTGTGATTATACATTGATGAGGAGTGATGTATGCTTACTTTGATCAAGATTCGTGATGCGTGGTTGATGATAATTGAATGATTGAGGAGATATAAGATGATTTGGAAATAAGTTTATTTGAGGTTGGTTGAGTGAATGAATCAAACGAGGATTATAAGATCTAGTTGTATTCAACTGAGTCTTGGAAGACTTGGCTTGAGATTCCGATTCCGATTGAGAGATGAATTGATTTTGCCATGGCTGATGATGAGTTTGTACACTAGGTGCTGCAAGAGAGACAGAGAATGAGTACACTGAATATAAAAAGTTATCAAATGAACTGACTTCTTTGATGAGCTTCTAGATAAGCTTTTGACCAATCTGGAATGAGATGATTAGGATGAGAAGTTGAAGGTGTTGGTGTAGATGTTTGATGAAATGATAGTTGATGATTTAAATTAGATTTAGGATTATAGAATTGAGATTGTTCTTGATTAAAACTAATGAGTTCTTGTTGTTGTTGAGAATTAGTTGAGATTGTTTGATGTTCTTGTGAGATTGACGATTGTTGATCAAAGTGTTTTATAAAGGATTTGATTGGGTTTTCTCTACCACAATTTAATTCTGATGAAGATGATTGAAGTATTGATGGTATACTACTACTCATTCTGTTGATGACTTTCTTCTTGGTTGTTTTCCTGTCTTTCGGTTTAGTTCTTGTTTCTTTCTTTCCTTTTGTTGATTTCTCGATTTCTTTCTGAATCAGCTTTCACCTTGTTGGTCATCGTCACGGTCAACAGCTTCATCGAAAGATTCATGAACAACTTCAAAGGTACCGAGACTCGGATCTCTCATATCATCAATTTCGGTTGCGCCCTGTTGCACCTGTAGCCCGAGGATTTGTTGCTCGGACTCCATTCTCCATTGCCATGAATTGAGTCATGAGTCATTAAGTGAAGGCTTCACTTCATCACAGATCCTGCTCCACCATTAATAAACACAATAATCCTACTACGGGTGAATTCGGGCCCCAGGTTTTGTTTTCTTTTGAGCAAAAATCATATCTCGAGTACCCTGGATTCTCAACGCTATGTGGCAATCCCAGGACACTGATCTGATCTCTTGAAATTCACATTGAAGTTGAAGAGCTGAAGAAAAGAACCAGGACACAGAAATCTTTGAAAAGGTGTGACATAAATCAACAATCTCAAGATGTGATAAGTGTCCCAGTATGGAGCTTTGTGCAACTTTGATGGTCAAAAGCTGTGTTAATGCCAGGTATATGGGACGGTTATTCAAATTTGCCGTATTGCTACCCTCAAAGAGACAACATAGAAGCTGTTTGAGATCTTGAGTGCCCTGCGTTAACCATAGCCGCATTGTGTGGTGTCAGCAACCAAAACCATGCTTGATTTGACCAATCACATTCCCAGGTTGAGGTTTGGTCTTTGCTTTGAAGCTATACCTGGTTCCTGAGGCTGGGGCCATATCACTACCCTCAAAAAGGTAAGATTGAAGCTCTTTCATTCCACCATTATTGAATCATGCCTGGGTTGAAGATCCAATGTGCTTAGGGTAGACTATAACATGACAAGATTTTGACTGATACTCATAGTGTGTCATTCTCATTAGTTGATGTACATGCTGAATCTACAACCACCTTATTTCAATATTTCTTTTACCTTGCTTCACACTTTGGGATCTTTCAACTTTCCAATAACATGACTGCAGACATTATTTCAATGACTCATCATATTTATAAAGTTCATATCGAAAAGTTAAAAAACAAAAAAACCAATAAAAAAACTCGAAATCGTAAACTGTTAAGACTAATGTATATACCTCTCTGAATGAATCTCAAGAAATTTACTACAAAAGAAAAAGGAAAAAAAAGATTGAAAACCATATGTACATATATATGTGAAAAATAAGTGTACTTTCTTTAGATGATTTAAATCAAAGTATAAAAAACCGGAAAAGAATTATGTGGAAGAGTAAAGAAAGGTTTCTTGGATGTGAACTGTGAAGAAAATGAGATGATTGAAAGATATGAACACCTCTTTATTTGTTCATGGTGACTTTTTCCAATATTCGTACTTATCATCATTTTCGACGACCAGCAATACAAGCCTATTTGAAAAAAGAAGGATGTTTCCAAGTCAGCAAAATAGTTGTAGTATTCAAAAAGACAATAAGGAAAATAAAACTTACGAAGATATAGGGTATAAATGAAATCAAAAGTATACCATCAATAGCCCATAAAATCCAAATCGCATTGCCATATTCAGCTACAATTCCTAATGGGATTCCATTAGAGATAGTTTGTTTATTCAATCTATGTTTCAAGATTGAAACCATAATCGTCCAAATCATAGTACCAATCACAGCAGTACCAAAAACCAACAAGTTAAGTGCAATAGCTGCACAACTCGCACCTCTACCTGCTGAACTACCTCCACCTGCTAAGATCATAATTCCAAGTAATGCAACCGAGACAAAAAGGAAATAAAACGCAATTCGACTCCAAACTCCTAGATATCGATCGGATTTGATTCGCTCAAATTGGTCTGAGAGTAGATTGTTTAAAGCTGATTGATATGCTGTAGGAGCATCTGCCACGAGGGCAGCTGTAGGCTGAAATCGGTGAGCCCATTTCGTACTCGTACAGTATTGTAGATTCGATGGCCCATTGTACCCCGCGCAATAATCTTTAGCAGAAAAAAAGACGGGATTTCATCAGGATAGATATCATGGCAGAGATGATCGAGGGAGAAAAGATAGTGAGAGATCAACGTACTCCATAATCCCCACGTATAATAGGTACGAAGACCATCACCGGGATTGCGTTGATTGAGTTCTTGATCTGGGTTTCCATACAAACTTGAATTTGTAAAGCCTTGCTGAGCTGATCCGCTAAGTTGACCTGAGAGAGCTGCTCCAAGACCAAAAGTAGAAATTTGGACAATCCGAATGTGCTTTGGAACCAGCTATCGATCAAAAGGAACAAATGAGTAATAAAATTTTAGTAGACGAATGGTTTTATGGAGTAGCTTACTTGATGTATTGTGAAATTTCCGATTGAGAAAAAGATATATAAGATACCAGCTGCGAGGGTAAGCATGGTACCGAGAGAAGCACAAGCTCCGAACATGTTGCAGACGATCAGGTGGTTGAGGTTGAAGTGGAGTGTCTATCTATGATCGTTAAAGAATAGTGTTGTCGTAAATGAAGTGTTGAGCAGCTCGGATTAGATGAGGAGTGAAACTGACAAACCGACGCGTTTGCGAAACTTTGAGAGGTGAAGAGGTTAAGTAAAAATAAATGTGGCGGTGAAGTGAACGCGCCAAGAAAAGTTCAGGTTTCCCCGTTTCCCTTCAATCGATTTTCTCGGGATTCCGAGAAGAATGAAAATTGAAATGCGGTGCAAAAAAAGCTAGTGAACTATATTTTGAAGATTGGCGTGTGGGTTTATTTTCAATTATGATCAGAAGAAGGACGATTTATTGGAAATCTGAAGTAAACCTATCAAATTCAATCCACAGAATGGGTGAAGAATGACTGATTAGGAACGATGAAAGGGAGCAATTGTGCTTGTGAAGAGTTTGAGGAGAAAGTGGAAAGAAGTATGGATGAGACCGATTGGATGGTTTCGATGTTCAAAGGAGGCAAGGCTGTCAAAAGCTTTATATATACCAATCTTATGACGCAAAAGTTAAACCAAGGGGCAGAGGCTAGAGCTAGTCTATCTACTCTCAGAAAGATGACGCTCGATTGTATCCTACTTGAGCTTGACTTGAGGTAAAGGTGATGAGGAGGATAGAGTGGGTTATATGCACCTCTAAGCTGGATTTTAGTAAATATGCTTTGGTGGATTTTGGGTCGAAACCGTTTGGATGAGTTTGGTTAGAAGAAAATGGAGGAAAACCCAAAGAAGAGGGTGTAAAAATACTGATTCTCCTCGTGAACCATGTGCATACAAGATTTTTAATGACAATCGAACTTATCAAAAGAACTTCAACATCAAACTGTAAACAAGCAAAGTGAATTGTACTTTACCACTTTACCTTCTTCTCAATTTCATCATCTGTTTGTTCAACCTTCGTAGCCATCACTCACCCTTTGTCATTTGATGCACATATCATTCTTCACGAGAGCTTCACTTAACTTGAAGTCTACAAATACAGATATAATCATGCCCCTGAAGTTGATCACGGAGATTCGAATGTGGAACAATTACGACATCACAAAAGAAACCACGTCTCGATTGCCGATTCATCGTGATCGTCTTATGCAGAGTCTCGGAGTCCGACCATTCAAAAGGAGGAAATACGATTTGGACATGTTTGATGATCACCAAATGAACTCTCAATCATCATCCAGCACTCACCACACGCGTGTTTGCCACTGCCAAAGGGCGAGCAGGAGCTAACCTAAAAAGTACAGCTCGTCCACACCTCAAAATGCTCGTGATGCATACATACAAACATATGTACTAAAGCTCTATCTTATAGAATTCTTCTGTAGCTATATTTTATCTGGCTAGAATAAGCGAAGGAAACATTGTGGATGTCTCACTGACACTATCGCTTCTTTGGCCGATGTTATGATTCTTCCATGAGGCAGCTTGACGCTCAAAATTTGACACCAAGATAGAAGTCTTTTCTTCTACTATTTGATGTCTGTGATACCAATTTTGAAAGTAAATATCTTTGGTTGCAAGTTTGACAACAGCTTATAATTGTGTCAGACGTGGAAAAGATTCCTTACTTCTCTTTAATGAAGGCATTCTTCTTTCTCAGATTGACATGATTGATTGTCATGATGTTTCTGAAGAGAGAGTACATAGTTAATAAATTATGGAGGCTGTCTCACATCCTGAAGAGAAAGAATCAAATCCATTTCAAGCTGACCATCAAAGATTTAGAAATTCGCCGCATTGCACAGCTATTACATATTCCATTACTTTTCAAGTACATTTTCAAGTTTATTTATGTGGGACTATGTATCTTACTACTAGTATTTATGCACGTACTCTTTTCCCTACTTATATTCTGACAAGAAGCCTTCACATTACATAGGAGTTGGAAGTGAAGCACAACATATCTGTCAAAAGGAAAGACGATGGATCTCATTTGCCAGGTTTTGAAATTATCCGTGTACCTTACCAATGTGAAGCATGATCTTGTGCATTGACTTGATTGTCAATACGCCAAGAGTTTCAAATGCTGGACCTTGTTGATTTGGTACGCCTAGATGATATCCTGATCAATTGCTTGAGATAAAGCTTGATAACTCTTCTGCAAAAGTTGTGAGCAAATCTTATTAGGAATTAATGACACAGGATCTAGTGCAATAAGAGTGAAATAGTGATGTATCAAAATGTCACTTAATGGATATGTCTACAAAGACTTGTGGGCAGGCAAATGTCTCTATGTGTGAGAAAACAAATAGATAGTGAAGATAAAAAAATCACTGATGAGAGAGAAGGAGAAAGAAGTGCAAATCCAGATGTGTCATATGCAAAAGTTTCTAAGCCAAGGAAAGGATCAGAAACAGATTCCTACAAGATAAGTAAACAGAAAGTATTTTATTGAACATCCATGTGTACAATTCCAAGTGTATAAAGTTGGTCAGGTAGAAGAGTGGATTTGATTATACTAAGAAATATAGAAATTGAGTGACAGGATATCAAAAAGTAAAATAAAATGTGAGAGAAATAAATGTGAATATATGAAACCAACGTAAAGTTTTCTGGTTTGATATATCCATAGAATACAAAAGACAAGTCTAGCAAACTAAAAGATGAGAGACATGGCTAGCTCTTTCTTTTTACCATATGATCAATCATGTATTGACCATACTACTTTGCATTTAAAGATGCCAAATGTCTGGCTCAGTTCGCATCGAATGAAAAACTTTACACTTCTCTCTTTTGTCCTGTAATTCAACATCTTTCTTTCGGTCAAATCGTGTCCAAGTTGACAAACTTGAAGTGTCTTGTGCATCACTGTTTCATTCATCAAGCTATTCTCATTCATACAAATAGACCACAAATTAAGACCCAAATTAAGAGAACTGATAATAATAGGTAAACATGATAGGGAAAATAAAACAGTACAAATATACTCCAAAGCAATGAGCAGATTCTTGAAAACTCCATCATCCAGTGTCTGACAACGGGCCCGGTGTTTCTGTTAGGTATGAAAATGTTTGTAATGCTGTGCATCTTGTCAGCTCATCGAGAAAGCTGACTATTAGCTGCCATTATGACCCTGACAGCTTCATCTTCAATTTCCTGAACAACCTGTTCTGCCGGTAAGATTTGATTAACGAGTCCCACTGACGTACCTGCATGAACATAACACATTTCAATCTTTGTAAATCTTAACGCCCTAGCCCGCGGAGATTTAGAAAAGTGGAAAGTCCTTACCAGACCAAGTCACTAATCTGTTCACGTCTGCCATGTTCATCGCTGTCTTGTAATTAGATTGAAGAGTATCAAAGTCCATACCGGCAAGGTGATTGACTGTGGTCTCATTCTTGAGTGCACGTCCATCAATTCCCTCTGGCCATCCGACAGTTCCGCTGTAAGATCAAAAAGTGATTTCAAAAGATATCAGCATCTGAATTCTTGAAATGAGTTTAAGACCTTGCGTCCAAAGGAAAAAATCTTCAAAGCTCACCGCAATTGATCAAAGACAGTCGTTTTGATCGTATCAATACTTTTAGCTGAGACGATTGCTTTCTTTTGGTTTTCAGTGTATTTCGCTTCAGGAGTAGCAAGAAATCGAGTTCCAGCTACCATTCCACTGGCTCCCAAAGCCAACATTGCAGCAAGATGTGATCCATGAGTTAAACCACCAGCTGCGACCAAAATAGGTCGTTGACTTTCCGGTATCATCTTTAACAACAAAACCTTTAAAGCAGGAATAAAAGAATTGATAGTTTCACCATTTGCACCACCATGACCTCCAGCTTCAAAACCTTGTCCTATCAAAATATCAATCTCTAAATGATCTGAAAGAATTGATTTTAATAAGTTTTCAGCTTCATTTAAACTAGTCACCATCACTGCCAACTTGCACAATCTATCATTTTTTTGAATCTTTCTAATAAGTTGAATCCATTTAATTAAATCTGTTCCGAATGATATCCATACACATTTAACATTCTTCACCACTGCTTCAAAACATCTCGAAACTTCATCTTCAGGTTCTAGATCTAATCTCCAACCTAAAAACCCTACACCGATTGGAATAGTTTCATTTTCTGAAGTTCCCATCTCTTTCTTTACATGATTGATATTCTTCACGAGTGCTTCAAGCTTCAATGGCTCGTGTCCTGTACCGATAAATCCAAAGCCACCTGCTGACGATACAGCCGCGGCCAATTCCGGACCAGCGGCTCCTGCCATAGGTGCTGATATGAGTGGAACGCGACATTCGAGTATTTTTGTTAAATCATTTCGAATTGAATGCATGATCTTTTATCATAACCTAACGATCAGAATAAAGAGTTTGAGTAAAGGGTGATGCTTGTTGACCGAGCAAACAATTGAGAATTGAATGGAATTGAGTTTAAGTTTTGTGCAGTCCAATTAGAAATGACGTCATACCACCTTTACCTCTGAGGAAATTTAAAACTTTGACTTCCTCAATGATATGTAGCTGATATATCTTCAAAAATTCAGCCATACCAAATTTAATCATTCCTTTTCTTTTCTCAAAACTTTTCTAAAGTTGGTAATCTGATCTTATTGCAATTTTGCTAAAAAACATCTTAGTAATGATACCAAAGAAAACCCCTACAGGATCTTATGTACAAGGATCATGATGAGACTGATGATGCTAATTCAATTTACAAAATCTAAAACCACAAATCTTTTGAAAAGATACTTGATTGACTTCAACATACTTAAAATTACTTTCTCCTTTTTGATCATACAAAATCTACCAATCTAGTGTACATTGATTTCTTTTAATACAAAAAAAAATGTGAGCCATTGAGATTGTATGAAAAAAAACAACCAAAATAAATATACAATCATACAATAGATGTAGTACTAGTACTTTTAATATAATTAGCATTTGATTCATCCTCTATATCAAGTCTTAAATCATCATCAGAAATTGAATTTCTTCTATTAAGAATACTGTTACTCTTCTTATTTTGATGATTTGGAATCGGATCAATTTGAACATCAACTCTTAAATCTTCTTGAGAATTTAAATTTCTTCTATTATCGATTATATGATTTCTTGAAACGAGTTTATCTTTAAAAATGCCACCAAAATGAATGATTGGAACACTAACTATAAACCAAACGAAAACAAAGGTACCAAAAAACATTAGATCAAATTAAATTTAGTCATAAATGGATTCCTGAATGAAGAAAACTTTTTCACTTACTTGCATAAACAAATATACTCATAAAGACCATAAACATAATCACAGGTATCAAAAGTTCTCTAATTCTAATAAACTCTTCTGGAACTTCTCTAAGACCAACTTGACTGTAATAAACGGCTCCCACACCAATTGGTCCAAACCAACCTAAGAAAAAAACGTCTTTAAAAGTTTGAAGTTCAGGTAAAACTTTAAAACTGATGGCTACTAATGGAAGACGTTTGAAGATCAAAATCAGAATTGATAATAAAAAGAGTTTAGATGGGGTTAATCCTAGTTCTTGATTATTGAAATCTCCCCAAGGAATGAGCGTTCCTATGTAAATGAATAATCTTTGAAACATTCCAATAGATCATTCAGTATTATCCCTTAAATCCAAGTGATGATTTGCAAATCAATGAAATAAGAAAAAACTCACGCAGAGCTTACAAAGAAGTCAAATAGGTCATGAAATAGTACGTGTCCAGATAACTTCTCTATCTCATTCGCGTAACCACCATCCCAATTGAGCGAGTTGGCAGCCACAAAACAAACCAGAATGTCGTCTATACCCATCATACCCGTAACTCCTAAAGTAAAGAACTGAAGGAATATATAAGACAGATTAGATCTCAAAGTGTTTGAAAACGTTTGATTGAGTCTGAACAAGATTGCTTACTGGAAGACCAAGTGAATAAATCAAAAGAGACTCATGATCAATCAAATCCTTATGTTTTGCAAAGTTAACAGCTTTCCTAATCACGAAAAAACCAAATCATAAACCATAAATCAGATCGTTGAAACTCCCAAACCAAAAAAACGAAACCTCTTCAAACCTAGCTAAAAAACCAATCAAGATTCCTAACACTAAACCTAAACCGATTTCATAAAGAATCACTTCAAGAAACCAATCAAGTATAGCTAAACCCGAAGAACTTGTTCCTGAAATCGTACGTAAAAGATAAATAGCAAGATACATAAAAGGTACACCTAATCCATCATTTGCACCAGATTCGGATGATAATAAATGGCGGATTCTTTCATTTACATTCTTTTCTGCATAACAACCTTTAATGATCGAATTGGCTAAAACCTATTTCCAAAAGAAACATAAGAAAAAAGACATGAGTTTCTGAGAGATTCTTGTATTTATTTTGTCGTGTTTGATGAGAATGACTTACTGGATCTGTAGGAGCTATACAAGCTGAAATCACCATTGATTCTAAAAAGTTAAGGTTAGGTAAGATTAACCAAATGATTAAAGAAACAATCAACCAAGTTAAAGTCATTAACGGTCCGATCATGAAACCTAAACTTTTCCAAGATTCTTTAACATATTTTTTAGGTAAATCTATACCAGAAAAGAAAACTTGAATTCCAATCACAATTCTCATGATTTCATAAGTGATTTGATTTGAGATCGATTGATTAAAAGATGTCCATTGTAAAGGTGAAATCCATTGGATTATAAAGGGTCCTACTATGATACCTATGATCGTACAAATCGATGAATCTGTTAAATATAATTTCGTTTTGATTGGTTTGGTGATTAAACAAATTATTGTTAAGAAGAATCCAAAGATGGCGAGTACTTTTGAAGGAATTGAGATATCTAATTCGATTTGAGTCATTCTTTTATTCTTGTGGCTCTTGGTTCTTCGAATCGATAAAGTCAAGAACTAAAGTGATGGTGGGTGACCTTGAAGTCTACCAATCGTGATGAAATCGATTTTCAAATATAAATCGATCGTCAACAAATTCGAAATTCACATTTGATTCTTTGATTTGATTCTTTCAATGTGTTTTTGGTTCCATGTGAGTCCTTGATCAGGTATTCACATCAATTCAAGAAAAGTTTCATTTCCATAAAGTTCCTTAATGACAATGCGAATGATGAATAAGGTTTAATCATGAACAAGTCTCATCAAGACAATCGAACTGAAAGCTTTGACATAACTGGGCAAAACTTCCTGGTCAAAAATCAAGGAGTGATATGCACAATTCCATAAACAAAACACCCCACCAGGAGGTATAGCTGAATGATCAAAGAAACTACATGGAATCTGACGCGGAGTCGGAGTTGGCAGCTGCAATATGATGTCATTCTTACACCGTACAGGACTCTGGCACAAGCCCGGGTCGGTGGCCAGAGCAGCACAGAAGCCATGTGTGGGATTGGCTTTTCTGGTTCCAATTATTCATACAAAGAAACACAGTCAACATGTGTGGTAAAGCCTAAAAGTTTGGTGTCATTGGTTCATCTCCAATGTGATGCAGATTTACACACTGAACACACCCGAGGGAGGATCTGCTTCTGCTTCTGTTTCTTGTGACTGTGATTTTTGTATGAATAATTGACACCAGAAAAGTCAATTGAAATATCTTTATCAAAAAACAATGTTTGGATATCTTTATCTGCACCAGTGGGGATTATGGATCTGAAGTTGTAATGCTAGCAAAAAGTACAGTTATAGAATGATGTCCTTGACTTTCTTGTTTTGATATATGGGATAAAGTACCAGTACTTAAATCAAGATTACTAACACAACCATGTGCATTTCTCAACTATCCTAACCTTTAACAGGTCAGCTATATTTCCTTAAGAAGGGAACTTGTGATTAGACTTATTAACCAGAGCGCATTTCTCAGACCGGTGTTTCCAGACTCTTAAAGATTCATATCAGTTGGGCATATAGTTGTCATCAAGAACAAAAAAGGGACTTTGGATATTCAAAGCTCAACACTCTCAAACGTTGAATTGATGAATCTGGTGAGTTGTGAATTGTATGGGGTTTTTGTGTTTCACTGACATTTGTGGTTTGACCATGGATGTGTGCAAGGAGAAGATTAGGATGGCATGGATATGGATGAATGATTGGTGCTGAATGAGCATAGGATTTTGTAGATGGTCTGACCCAATTGTGCTCAGGTATCCTTTTTTTTGAATACTCTTGATTTGTAGATGATATGGATTTGTATTTAAAAATTTGAGAGACATCAAATCTAGACTTCACCAGTGCTGCTGAATGTATATAGGAAATCAAATCTCTCAGCTCATTATGAATTGGATGTCCAGCTCATTTATATGAAAGCTTGCAGAAATCTGCTTCATGCCTGGTCAAGAACATCACACTCAACCCTGGGCCAGCAACATAGCTGTTGCATGCCACACTACTGGTATGTTGTGGAATTGACGCAGCACACCATTGCACAAATTCTACATGAATTTTGCAGGCCACCCTAATGCATAACAAGGTGCTTGGGATCAGGGATTTTCTTTGACCACAACAGCACTTGTTGTGTTGTGGTCCACAAAAGTGTTGGTTTTTGAGGTTTTTTGGGTGCTGTTGTGCATGTTGTGTTGTGCAACTGGTGAGCCAGCATGCAACTTGGCATACCTATTTCATGTTGTGGTGCTTGAAGCAACATAACATGGTTTGAAGCCAGTATGCTAAGTGTTGCAGAGCAACACAGCCATAGATGCCCTTGCTGTACCACACTGCATTGCTGGCACAGGGTCATCACAATGACCTGTCAAGATATATCCAAAGGTTTGTCAAAAACGGCATGATGTAAGTTGACCAACAAATTGAAAACCATTTCAAAACCAATCCAAGTCACTGGGACGCACTGGACTTCCAGTAACTTGTGATTGGGGGCTGAAACTACTACATTTTATTTTACTATGAAAATGTTCTTTTATGATGTTGATGGGTACAATCATTCAAACGCAATCAAACAACCTATATACCTTTATGGATCCTTCACATTTGCGTTGTATTGAGCCCAGGCCCCAATCTTCAAAAGTGGTAAATCAATACTGTCCTATTGTTCTGCAGCCTCCTATTTCCTCTGGATCTGTTCCAGAAACCGCAAGGGCACTGGGTCAGTTTTGTTGTACATATGAACAAAACTGACACATTTTCTGTTTGACTGTTCTAGGGCCCAATGGGAATGTCATTGGAACAGTCATGGAAATGGATTCGAGATGGGGTCAGATTCTGTGACTTCTCTGTTGAGGAAACAAGACCTTTTCAGTTCCCCCCGGACAGGTTCTGGGCTGGGCTGGGTGTAGAGGTATGTACCAAAACTTGTTTTTTCAGTTTTTGCACTACACATCACATCTTGCATGGTACCAAGCACTTCAAATGATGTGTATGGGCTAGGTCTATTGAACAAGCCTGCTTCAAGGCCCTTCACTTCACCCAACTTGTCATAGAATGGTTTGGTGCATCTTTTGAGGGCCTCTAAGGCCTCATCCCTTGATTTTACGCCTGTTTTTGGCTGTTACATCCAATTATCCTGGGGAGTATGGGTGCTATGAGGCTGAAATCTAGCTTAAACAAAATACATCATTCTCACACACATTTCACACTACTGTACACCCACTTCGGCAAAAAAAGTCGCATTAATAATTTAATGCGACTTTTGCATCACGGTGAGAAATTTTCTCATCGTGTGTGTATGTATAAAAACACACAACACTCCACTTTTCGGAAACGTTTGGTAAACAGATACAACGTGATATGTGATCAGAATTCAGCATTATTGAGATTGATAACGCCTTTCACTGACTGGTAAACGAGGTCATCGACTTTGATGATGGCCAAAGCAGTCGAATGGTCTTGACATCACCCTATTTCTCGCCCTTCAACGCCACAACATCATTGCTTTTTGACTTGAATCATTCAAACCCAAGAGACTCATGCGATTTTTCAATTTGATTCATTTTCCAGGAAATTTAAAGCTTTTTTGTATCATTTATCATCTATTGCATCAGAAACAAAACATCTTTAAAAGTGACCATTTCAAATCAGATCGATAATATGTAATAAGCCAGAGACAAATACAATCCAACACTCAAATGATTGGATACCACTCGAGGAGTTGAGATAAAAGAAATGATTTGTGATTTGAAGGAAAACAAGGAACTTGGGATCAATAAAAGAAGGTTGATGGTAAGTTTGAATGAGAATATTGATTGTTCCAATAGACAAAATAATGGCCATATCAAGATTGAAAAGGTGTGAAGTGAATGGAGTTCAGGGATTAAGAAGTTGATTTTTTTGGTGGTAATGAAGGATGAAATTTGGTGAAGTAAGAAAAAGAGGGAGAGTGATGGGTTGAAAGAGAGAGCGATGGAAAGTTGCAGTTGCATTAATTTGAAAATATACGGCTTTGAGTCGTTTTCAAGAATGCGCACGATTTTTGCACATATGTGCAAAGATGCGTGTGCGTCTTCCGTCGCATTTTGGTTTACCGAATTGGTTTTTTCGGTCACATATGCGACCGAAAATCAGTGCGACTTTTTGGTGGTGCACAGTCGGTCGCACACGTCACACAACTGTTACCGAAGTGGGTGGTAGGTGTTATGAAAGTGTGGTTATGTTCCCAAAAACCTCTTCAACAAGAGGTCAATATTCTTGGTACATACCTCTAGAGGCACATTCCTGGGTCCTCCTGCCACAGTACTGTTTGTACAGCAACAACAGAGCCTGATTCGGTAGTGGCACTACAACAGCATTGTGAGACCAGTGATGGACCACAGCAAACCAATTTCAATTCAAAAGTGTCCTGTGGTGTGTTGTTCAATCTTGAAACTCACTTCTTCAAACCTCAAGATCAGCCTGATAAGTGTCAAGTTCATCAAAAAGAGTTTGATTTCAAAACAAATCTTCATTATTGGTTCTTTTTTCAACCAAACTGAAACCATTAATAATAAAACATCAAAACAAATAGAAAATCAGAAAACAAAATTCTTCTTTACATCACAAGCTTTTTTTAGGTGTTCTTTTTATTTAAACTTTATCAAAATACAATTTTTTTTGAAGGGGGATTACTGATCAACTTAAAAATATAGATTTAAAAAGTCTTTCAAAAAAATGGAATACATATCACTTGCAAACAAACAAACAAACAAACAAACAAACGAACAAACAAAAAGGGTAAAAAAATTTATTATATTGTTATAGGTAAGACACAGATCTGAAAAAAAAAGAAGAAAAAAGAAATTCAAAATCAGATAGGTAAGCATAAGGGGAATTGATGTTGAAGAGGAAGATGTCAAGTTTCAGTTTCTAATCTCAGGTAAAAGTTGATCTCTTTCTCCACCACCACCTAAGAGAGGTGTATCTTCAGTTCCACTTTCATTCCCATCTACATCATCCATTGAATTACGTAGTTTAGTAGTTGAATTCTGTTGTTGTTGTTGTTGTTGAATGTTTTCATCTTCTTCATGTATAGATGGACTAGTCACTTCATTAGATTCTCTTCTAATTAATCTTTTCCTTCGGTTTTGTGAATCTGATCTTCTTGCTGGTGTTTCTCCTCCTTTTAATTTCACTTTGTCAAACGCAGCTGATCTTCTTGAAATCCCATGGTCTGATTCAGTGACACTATTTGGGACTATCATCACTGGTACACTACCAATTTGTACATTGACTAAACTGGTTACCTCTGTTCCTTCTCCTACTTCTGATCTTGGTCCATAGTCTCCTGTATGTCTTCGTTTCTCAATCACACCTGAATCATAGACCAAAATTCGAATGAATTGAGTGTCAAACAAGGTCTACAAGAGCTAAATTTTGGCAAACCTTTGATGAGAGGAGCGAGACCCTTGGTTGTCGCTCGACTTGCAAGTGGCTTGCGGACCACTTTGATCTTGTGGGCTACATCTACATATTGATCTGTTTCATCGATGATCCTAAACGAAAGAGGATAAAACATGAAGCTTTCGATCCCATGATGGCACACGGTATTCAGACATGACGTACTCTTCACCGATCATTCTAATGGGAGATAATCAATCAAATATCTCGGATAAGTTAACTTGGTAAACTAATCAATTACGCAAGAGCTAATCACTTACTCCTCAATTACATCTTCTAAACTGACCACTCCCAGAGCACCTCCGTGTTCACCTGGACGAGATGAGACCAAGAGCATGTGTGATCGACCTTGTTGAAAGAAATTCAAACTAGCCGTTCAAAAGGTTTTAAAGGTAACTGTCAGCTTGTAACAAAGAACAGCAGCAAAAACAAACTTACGCTTCCAGACATGTCATATCAGGAGCTCCTTCAGGTAGCGTACTAAGCTGAAACTCGCTCACTGGCTTAGCGTCATCAGGATCATAGCTAATCAAATGCTTGACTCTGTATAAATGAGTGCCAAGATCCAATCCTATACATGAGATTATTGGTAAAAAGCTGCCAATCGGTATCAAGAGAAGAACTTACAAAAGCATTCCGATGAAATTACGATCATGACCAGCTTCATGAACAGGTACTCTAGAATAACCTTGACTGACAAGTTCAGTGACTGTACACTCATCTAGAATTGAGTCTGCGCCAAGTGTAAAGGTATCTTCAATCGGGGTCATGATATCAACAATTGCTATAGGAAGAGAGTGAAAAAGATCAGTCGTGTCTTGATCATAAATTGAAGCATTTCTTCAATTTCCTTGATTCTTACTTTTTTCGGAGAGGTCTAAGACAGCTGAGATTATTGTCACCTCATCTTCATTTAGCCCATCTGTTCCAATATCTAGAAGCAAGACGAATTTAAATGATTTTAGTGACCATGATGTTGAGGTATAATGACGAGAGAATGAATAAATTAACCCACGGCGATGCAATCCAACAAAGGTCTTCAATTCAGCTTTTCGATAAGTAGTTCCTTCATCATGACCAAGAATATAATCCAATAACATCGCAATAGGATAAGCGATAGGAAACTCGAGGTACATGAGCGCAAGAACGAAAGGAGCGGATTTAGCCCCGATTGATAGTCCATATCGAACGCAAATCGATTGAGGAATGATTTCTCCAAATCTGTTGGTATGATGCCAAGAAAAAGACACCTCTGTTAATACTTTTTTTAGACATTTGATCTTTGAAATGTGATACCTTACATTACAATCAATGCTGTTGAAATCAAGATCGCAGCAGCACCACCACCTAAGACCGAATCCCTGGAAAAGTGACATTCCAAATTAAAAAATCTTATCGAGTTGGATCCTTGATCATAGAGACTCACAAGAAGATTGGTAAGGTTTCGTTAACCACTACATTACTGAGCAGTAAGACGACCAAGACCCAATGTCTACCTCTTTCTAATAACTTGAGGACTTTTTGAGCTTGAACTTGTTCAGTAAGAGTTCCACTCGTACTTAAAACTCTTAAATTCAGAATATCAAGTCCCATAAGACCTAGATTCATACCATCAAACAAAAAAAAATGGATCAGAAACATTGACTATTTGTGACTATGACTTTGTGATGAACATACCTAAAGTTAAACCAGCAAAACAACCACCCAGTAAAACCAAAAAGATAATAAAAGCCATCATCCACCAAAATTGAGGAGTACCACGAGGAACTGGATCATCCGATTCGATTGCATTATGAAAGAGAGAAGCCAGATTACGAGGAACGAAAGAAGGTGAGATGATTTGATTCACTATAGGTTTGCCGAATAATGGTAAACTAGAAGAAGCTAATAAGATTAATTTAGTAATCGATTGAGCTAAACCCGCTGAACGCTTTGGACGTGAGCTGACGGAGTTCATCGGTCGATCAGTCGGTTTGATTTGTGCTTGTTTGGTGGATTATGTAAGTGAGTAGTATGTAAGGGTGTATTGAGATTTGAACGAAACAAAATTGGAGAAAGTTAAAAATTGCATGGATTGGAATTCGGAAAGAGATGGAGATCCAGCTTACTGTCTAAACACATACAAGCTGTGCATTTCCGTATCTAACATGAAACTCGTCAGCACTTTTTCTACAAAAGCCCAATTGGGTCAAGACAATTTTACACTTTCTTCAACTTCAACTTCTCCTTATCATGGGGTGGACCATCTCAATATATTTCCGCCATGAAATCAAAATTCTACTACTTTTCACGTCGGTCCGGCTAAGTGAGATCTTGGGACTCTGTGCACATCTCCCCAAGATTTGAAAGCGTACATTCAAGGTTGTTCCTCAAAAACAAAAAGTTTCACAAACTTCACTTGGTGTTATGACTAGCTTGCTCCTTTTCTCATACAAGTGTGATTTTATTACTGTAACAGGCTATTCCATGAAGTAAAGCAAGACTGGCTAGGATACTGCTACATGAGGACTACTTAGATGGTCATGGCCAAGCAAAAGTAAGTAAAACTGAATCACTGTGGAATGTCTGACCAAAAAAGTATTTCTGTCAAAGAAGCCAATTTGTGTTGCATAAAAGGGTGAAAGTGTTTATGAGATGGCAGAAACAAGAAGATATTGAAGATTTAAAGATCAACAGATCAAAATAAAATAAAATAGTAGAACTAAACTATCACTGTCAGCATCACAAAACCAACAAAACGGAAAAACAAAAAGCTCGCTCACTCCACATTTTCTCGGCTATGAATCCTTGTGTATCTCCGTGCCCGGTCACCGGGTGAAACGTGGGGGTGAGGGTCCAGCTCAGTCTACATATCTGTGGCCTTAACAAAGCCCCTCAACGAGCGCGGAAAGGGCTCTTTGTTAAGCTTAGCTGTGCAGCATGTGCCAATCTTAAACTTGCGTTCCATCATCTTCCAGATCTTCGTGTTCCACTATGTTATCCATAAGATGTATGCCTTTGATCAGCTTTGATCTCATCAATCACTCAAAGTCCATACCACCAATAGCTTACCATGCTTTTCTTCAAAACAATCCTTTTTGCTATTTTGGCAGGTGAGTGAACTCGTCATCTTTCCTCGCCTCTGTTCATCTTCACCTTTGTTTACATATATCAACGTCTTTGATAATGCCCATAGCCACAATCTCTGCTTATCCCGTCCAGGAATCGGATGATGGAGCGTGAGCACAGTTTTGGAAACTTCTTCTGGATTCTTACGATTCCTAACATGTTCATCTCAGTGCCACTCATCAAATCATGAAACGAGGCTCCGAGTCAGTCTTACAGATCATCACTATTGAAATCTATCAACCAAAACTTGCTTACTGATGTGAATCCTACTTGTTTTGTTTAACCTCTCAATAAATCTCTTCAGCTTAACTGACCCGGTAGCTCGTCCGGAGCCGCCGCGCTGCTATCGCTATAGCCGCCATCCATGTTGATCTACATGGCTTCGAAGAGGATCAATTGCTCCTGAGATATAGTTGTAGATTTGGTAGTTTTTGGCAATCGCAGCCTCCAACAAATCCCTTTACGCGCGCGCAAGAATTTCCCTGATCGCCTCTGAACCGCCTGTCAAGAGCAATCATATCATCAACTTCTTCACGTCCGCGAGTTGTTCGTACCAAAAAATGATGTCAACCATCTTTGAGATGCAGGTGTTGAGACGGCATGAAAGTGTCTGGTTTGCATACTGTTTGAAGTGTGTATATTGAAATGATCCAAGAGACTCTAAGCCAACAACATGCTGGAAGAGACCATCGATATACATATATAGCATCATGCTCCTTGGTTATAGGTGTAAAAACAACCAATTGTGTCAGGCAATTGCTCGGAGAGAAAAGAGAAAATTATAAAGAACTCACCCCGACCCTTACCGTTGCTTACCTGATGTTATTTGATCCAACCTTGCTGCATAGTACCCCTCACAGAAAAATACTCAAAGATGTATTGTGAAATGTAGCGCTAGGTTAGCCGAGATGGGCTGAATAGATTGAAGTACTGGCACCAACAATTGAAGCTTTCCAGGTGTTCAAAACGCTGTGGGACCAACTGCCGAGCGATCATGGCCATCCATAATGCACAAGAGTTAAGCTCGATCGAGTCCCTCGTGGCAGCGACCAGGGACTCCATTGATTTCATGAAAGAAGTTATATCCGGGACTTCAATTTTGTAAGTTTGGGCTGTGAAGGGATCCCTAAGTTTAAAATACGTTTCCGTTCACCAAGATGGTGAAACGTGGGGGGGAAGGGCCAGCGGTGGAGAATGGTAGGACTTGTGTTTAAGCTAGGCTTCCATCACATTCCAAATATTTGTGTTCAAAGTATGTTATCACAAGGTATAAAAGGTTCTATGTTGCCCGTGATCTCACAAACCAACTAATTTACATACCAGAACAGCTCACTATGCTTTTCTTTCAAATAATTCTTTTTGCTAGTCTGGGAGGTGAGTAAATTCGTTATCTTTTCTCACCTGTGTTCATCTTCATCTTTCTTCATACTAACGTCTTTGATATTTTGCATAGCCACCATTTCTGCTTATCCTATCCAAGATGACAGAATGTGAGCACAGTTTTGGAATGCTTTTCTGGACTCCTAAGTTCCCACTCCGATGAGAATTCATTCTAACGAATCCGGAACCATGTTGATCTCAGTACCACTCACCAAATCATCAAACGAGGCTCTGGGTCAGTCAGACTTTTACAGATTATCACTATTCCAATCTGTTACCTAAAACTTTCTTACTGATGTGAATCCTGTCGCTTGTTGATGCTCTGAAAACATTTTTTTTCAGTTTACCAGAACGGGTACCTCGTCCAAAGTTTCATCCAAAGGATCCGACCTGTCCTCCCAACGAATGTTGGCCATAAGGGCTTGGAGAAGGACCAGTTTCTCCATGAAGTATAAATGTAAATTCGGTACTTTTTGATGACCTGTCCAACAAGCCTCTTGTGTGTTCGCAAGATGCCAATGTTATGATTTGCATAGTATTTGAGGTGTACACTTTGGAATTATGCAAGAGAGTCTAAGCCAATGACAAGCATCAACAGACCATTGAAATAAATATATATAGGATCATATACATGCCTTTGTTGAAATTGTAAAACCCTGAATAATTCAAGACAAACAATTTTGTTGGGAAGGAATTTATAAAGAAATCAAATCCTACATTTGTTTGTTTTTGTTGTGACAGTAGGGATTGGGCAAGGTGAAGTTTTGTAAAACCAGATTTAGCTGAAACTTCAACAAAGGGCCTGTCAGATCCACCACAAATCCAGACTAGTTATATCTGTATATCTATAAACAGAGAAGGTTTCCAAATGGAGTTGACCTGAAAATATGTCAGAATAGATCAAAGAATATCACATGTATTTAGGAAGGGTTAGTGGAACACACAACCACAAATTTTAGATCAAATCAAAAGCAAAAAAATAATGTGGAGTCACAGGACTTGTGGATGGTTGTATGCTCCAATTGTATTGAAAATCCTCTCTTTTGATGGATAATTGGTTGTCAAGGGCTCTTTGTAGGTACCTTCAATAAAAAAATTGAAGTTAAACAGTTTCATGTTTTCAGCTTACTATCAAGGACATTGCTATTGCTTGGGATGAGCTCACCTTAATATACAAATACAATTGTGAGCCTGTCTTCCCCTTCAGTGACAATAAGGCGGAGCTCCAAGAGGACCCTGGAGAGCGCAAGTACACCCTCCTAATTGGTACCTGAATTTTGTTTTTGTTGGGTTTTGGGCTTTTCTCACACAACCATGACCATTTTTCGAGTTTTGGAAACTGCAACAGGTTAACAAGGCCACAGCTCTCTAGTACACATACTTTTTTTTAAAGTGCATAGTTGCATATATGCATATTACACTAACTAAACAATTTAACAGTAGGGATACTAGTACACCAGAAATGGGCGGTCATCTAGTCAGTACAAGATATAGAGTCGTCTTTAGATCAGGGATGCAGCAGTGAGTCTACACCACAGAGGTGTCCAGCCGTCTACAGACGGGCCAGCCAGGCCGGCGGCAGACGGCCAACCATTGCAGAGGGGCAGGCCGTCTCCCGTTGGGCCTCACGGCTGACGACTGTCAGCCGCCTGCTGAGCCCGCCTGCAGCCGACGATGTTCGCGCCCGCTGGCGTCTGCAAACAGGCTTAAGACCGTCAGTTAGCTTATGACCGCCTGGAGCCAAACTCGTTGGCTCATGACGGCCTGCAGGCAAGCTCGGCAGGCGCGTGCATGCGGCCATGAGCCAGCAGCAGGTCGGCTGTAATACGACCGCAGACGGCCAGCTGGGTCATGGCCCGAGGCAGATTGCATTCGGGGCACTGGCACGCAGCCCCGTTCCGACCCAGGTTGCGGACATCCGATGCGGGGCGCCAGGTATCAGGTGGCTGGGCGCAGCTTTCCGCACCAGCCACCTGCTCACTTCGGCTCAGCTAACCTTGCAGGGACATTTATCCTGAATGAATCACGCTTGGAAATTCACACAGCACCGCGACAACTCTCAGATGAAATAAGACGCAAAGTAATAGGAACTACGAATTCGCATTGATTAAATATGTAAATAAGAAATCATATGTCTAATACAATCTTTAGATTAGCGCTTTTAAATTCCTGGTTGAAGGAAGTTTGTTCCACCAGGGATTCCATTGCCCATGTGTCCAGCCATTCGCGCCAGGATGGCCTCCTCGGAAGGCATGTCCAACGTAAATTTCGGTTCGCGAGCTTTCAAATCTTTGAACCAAATATTTCCGTCAAAATATTTGACATCCTCGTCGAATATAATTTGGTAAAAGCTGTGGTTGAATGGGTGTAAGCTTTTCATTATGCTTGACAATCCACAAGCTTATGTATTCACTGACGCAGTAGTATAGTCACTGTTCCGCTTCAGTCGCAACTGGGATAGTTTCTTATCCACTACAGCCCAGATGGATTCACAACCTCGGCCTCCCTTGAGCACCAGGCGCGCGGCTTCTCGACGCTGAGCCAGAAAACCAAGCATCAGCCATATTAGCATAAATAAAATATGGAATCACAGTGCTCACCAGGTAGGCAATTCGACCTCGAGTTGGTAAATCGGTGGCCGCCCACACGGCTTCGATTTCTGCCTTCTCACCTGCTATACCACACCTAACGGCCACCTGAAATTGAACATGTGACCATGTATCAAGTTCTGTACTTTATTCGGGCATAAGCGAAATACATGTACATACTCGTTGAACCATGTCTTTGATGGTGGGGACTGCAGTATCAACAACCTCTTTCGTTTTAGGATCGTGGATGCCTACCAAGAGCTGCGGTGTCCGTTAGCACTTTGTTGGTACATAATATCAAAGGTTGGAACATACCACGTTATGTAGCTTTTCTCTGGCTTGTTTCCCCGCGCCTTTCAGCGCTCCGGTGTACGCTTGGGTGTCGCTGGCGTCTTCCACGCCAAGGACCTGGACGGGAAGGTGCTCCTCTGCAAAGGCAGTGCCTTCTTTCACAACCTTTTTCTATCGTGAGGGGGATAGCGAGGATGTCGGCATCAGTTCAGCAAACAATCACATGACCGTCGTGTGACTTACCTTGATTGTATTAAACAATGAATTGGGCAGATACCCTTCTGCCCGAGTTTCGATAGCTGTATAGGCTTTGAGTAGAGGGGAAAACAGCAGCTTGAGTGCCAAGGGATTAATGACGCCCTGAAAGTAAAAAAAAAGGGAAAGGTCAGCTACGTGTGGGAACATTGCGGTTGAGTACAAATGCGATGAGTGTGTATACCGTGAGTTTCGCGCTTGCTACCCACTTTCCCCCACCGGAAGAGTCGCCCAGTGGGCCATGTTCCACCACTCCAGTGGCACCTGGACCTGGTGCGGGAAGTGGAGCTCGCGTGAGGGCAATGACTGCCTCTGTGATGGTGGCCAATTGGCCGTTTAACGTGTCAATCTTGCTGTTGACACGTCCAAGCTCCATCAGGAGCTTCGAATTGGCCGTGGCTTGAGCTAAGTGGCGGTGGTCATAGCCATTGACCTTGACAATGGATATCCCGTCGGATGTAAAGGCATATAAAATAGATTAACGTCAGTATCAATCTATTTTGGCGACACTCTGATTCCGACAGTGAGGGGAGGTGAATTTACCTCCGCTTGGTACAACGCAAACGCCTGAAAAGGCTCTTCCAAACCAAATCGCGTTGACATCGCCATGAATGTCTCCATGGGTTGCGCTGATAATGGCGCAGAAAAACCAGGTGGCCCGTCGGCGATGTCGTCTTCAAACATCGTCCTATTGGGCAAGTCCGTGTTTTGTGATTCGTGCATCGTTTGCGTGTTGGGCATTCCACGGGATGGCCACTGAGGCTCGGTGCGCCCGCCACTCCTTCGTTGAGATGGAGACACGGATCTGTTGTCTCGATCTCGAGACAACAGATGATGGTTTGCGTTCTGCCCGCGATGGCTGTCCTGGTTGGGAGTGGCGTGGAAACTGGCGCTACGAGCGAGGTTGCCGGCGTCGTTTCGACCTCTAGGTGAGTCTAAGGAACCTGGGGAGAAATGGTTTGGTCAGCGTTGGTCGATTATACAGGGGATAACTACAATTACCGTTGGAGTTATTCCTGACGGAACCGTGTTTATTGAATCCGTTGAGCGGGCTGCCTGGGAATTGTGAAGTCAGACCTTCGGAATTTTCCTGACTTGCACGCCCGATGAAAGAGTGGTCTACAAATAGGCCTATCAGCTGCCTGGGCCTAATGGGATTGGCCATGGATGAGCACCAATGTCAAATCACTGACTGAGACCGTTCAGCGAGGGTCCTTGTGAAGGAGCCTTCAGTGCATCACTCAGGTCAAGATTACCGCGGCCATTGAATGGGCCGCCTAAAAAATGGCCACACAGTGATCAGTTGCGTGTTCAATTCAGCCAATGAGTTTTAGGGAGATCGCCTGACTGATGCCGTTGAAAGATCCCATCTGAGATGGCGAATTCAGCCCATCGGGGAGGTCAAGGGACTCTTGCCGATGAAATTGGCCGCCTGGAAATAGGCGTGTCAGCTGCTGCATCATATAAAAGGTTGAATGACTGACTGTAGTACGAAGGTTCTGCACTCATGTCGAAAGAGCAGCCAGTTGGGATTTGGCCGGCGATGATTTTTGGATGTGCAATGATGCTTGCAAGCGCAAAAAACAAAGGTTGAGCTTGCCGGGGGCGCAAAAAAATGGTTTGCATTTTGCGCCACAGTTTGAAAATTTTCACCCACGCTGCGACCTTGCGCTGTGCGTGAAATTCGATTTCACCTGCTTAATCGAAATTCCCCCTTGTTTCTCTTCTCCCTCGCATCAATGTCACAATCCAACTCTCACACCGAACCAGCTGGGAAGCGCAAGCGCGAATTTGCCCTTGGGTTTGCTATGGCCTCGTGAGTATAGGTTTTGTTGAATCACAACGTACCAACCGTTATGCTGATCTTGTTCATTGTTTTTGTTTGGGGGTCAGTGATGCAGAGTCATCGGATTATGTCTCTCCGATATGCCTGGAACCTCCGGCGTCCATGGAGACTTCGCAATTGGACGAACTAGCGCCTACGCAAGAGGACGACGAAAATCCACCTGCCGAACCTGGGATGGGTGACGCAGAGGTCACCATTACCCGCAATGCCATTGAGGCAATACGTAAGCCGCACTTATTTGATCAGATTTCAACGGCCTACACCCAGTGCCTGACTTCATATGTCTATGTAGAATTACCCATAGATGGTGGCTATGTGATGTTCGCTAGTCTGCGCCGTATCATGGCCAAAACTACCTTGGAAGATTATCTTTGTTTCGCATGTTTGGACGAAGACGAGATCGACAATGTACTTCCAATACTTCAGGGAAACGGGGTTAATCATTTCGATTTATTCTTATTTGTGGATTATGTGAATAAGGATCAGCTGCGTAAATGGGGGATATCTGTGGGGACATGCGCTCGAATAATGGTTCACGCGGTCATGTTCTATCAATTCCACGTTCAGAAGGGGGCATGAAGGTGTTCATACCCCCATTCCTTTGTTGTTGTTTTGATATGTAACACGTCGATTCGTATACTGGATATCGCGTTTAATGCTTCAGATCTACAATTACTTTATATAGTTTCAAACACTGCACATATGGCAATATCGTGTCATATGTGCAACAAGTGTAATGAGAGAGACTCCATTCATTCCGATTGCCTCGCTGCCAACCATATCGGACAGGATTGTTTGCCAAAACAATCCTTTCCATATCAATTTGTTCCGATATGGAAACAATTGTGGCCACCTTATCGGAAAGATATGATGGCCATTACGCGTCCTTACATAAAGGCCTTTGAACGTCAATTGCCTCATATCTTGGCCCTTTCCTTACATTCCCTTCCATCCCATTTGTTATCGTTGTCCTAGCCCAATGAAGATGGTACGCGCCCTAATTGAACCACCGCAATTGTCATCATCCATGGTGGCGACGTTAGAGTTACTCTATGATCAAGGACATCATCTTGAAGAATATGATCACATGCTCGTTTATATGGATCACGAGAACATGGAACAACACGCCAACACCATGCCTCGCTTAAAACATAATGGTTCCAATTACGCGAGCTGGCTCTACTGGGTTAATGAAGAATATCGGCGATTCACTCGTAATCCTGTGTACTTGTATGAATCCAAATTGCACATCTCGTCACTGCATGAAGCGCTTGCGGACGAGGTCCTTTTGGCCATCATATGTGCCACGGTTCATCCCAATGTCCTTCCGTTGGTTCAGATGGCCTCATGCGCTCACGGCGCTGTCATGTGGGTCAACTGGTATCACGCCTTGGACGGTGAGTATCTACTGTATCAATCTCAAACCTTGTGAGTAGGAAACGTACTGATCCCTACTCACCATCAGTACCCAAGGTTCGAGACGGTTTCCACCTCCCGTGAACCATGTCAGGACATGACGTTCAGGTACGGCGAGTCCTGTGGGTATATCTCAATCTTACGTCTTACTTGGCTGGGGTTTATTGACCTTGTTTACTCTCTTCTCGCATTAGCCAATCAATCGGTCGAGACATAAGGCCCGAAGGGGTCTGGCGAGTGTTTAAGGCGCAGCCTGGTGTAGAATGTATGCAGAAAGATTTGGGTATAAGTTTGGTTTTAGCAGTAGGATTATCACTTTGTCAATTTTTTTTGCGGAAATTACAAATTGGGTAATTTTTAGTGCGCATGTGGTGATATATTAGTTTTTGACCAAGTTGGTGATTTTGATGGCTCAAGTACATTATATTTTTATCTTTGCAAAAAACATGTGGTGGTGTCTTTCAACATCAACAGCTGAATAACATTATGAATATGTACCATTATTAATGGTCCGCATTGATAATATTATTACCTTGGTATCAATGGTCCGCAGTAATAATATTATTACCTTTGGTTGCTGGACGTGGTTCAGCTTTCCATGTGGTGAGTCCTTGTTTGATGGCCTTCTCCCAAAGTTGAGGGGACATAGCGGAGAGCTGAAGATCTGAAATTTGACGATGTACATTTCCATTGTAATGGGCGCCGGCATTGAGGATGAAGGAATTTGATTCCACATGGTCAACCCCCCACAGACCAATGGTGGTAAGCCTTCTCTCGATCCTTTTAAGGTGGTTTTTGGCCAAGTTACAAAGTGAATCATGGCAGTTATGTTGCATATTCAGCAAGCACACAATATCCTGGTTGCCAAATGTCAATACAATATGTATGCCTACTTGAAATATAACTCTCTCAAACTTACTTTGACATTGATGAGTGTAATTTCCTCAGTTACTTTGACTTCCCGCATGCCATAGAAGTGATTGATTGGCCCCTTTTCACAGATTTTGAGGACAAGATGAGTGCGAGTATCAGAGACACCCTCGAGCTTCCAAATTGATTGGACACGTCCCACTTGCAGCGGGGAGTTAACCTGTAAGACACCACATTTAAATCAATACCTGCGACTGGATTATATCAATTGGATCAAATGTTACCAAGACAAAGTCGTTTATTTCCACCTGGTGATGCCCAATTAGCTTCACACTTTCGTACTGTCGTAACTTTTGACGGTCCACAATCATTGGTATGCAAGGAGGTGCAACCAATTGGAACTTGCACAATGCTGTGAAACACAAGGCAGTTAGTAGGATTAAGGGACACAAACGAATGTGAACTGCTTGCTCACGGCCAATGGAGTAGTTTGAAATGTTGCCCAAAGACGTGTCCAGTCCCATTGCTTGAAACAACTCAGGCACTTGCAGTAATAATGATTTCAATTGTGGGCCACTAGATACCCGAGCTTGCAGATCCTTGTCAAAAAAGGAAGAACCGGAGACGAACATCCTCATCAACACTTGAGTGTTTGATGTGTTTGCTATGTCTTGCCCCGGGCTTTGATGGTTTGAATGGATGGATTTGTGTCGAGTGATCCCATTGAAAGATTCCAGTTTTTCAGTTGCAAATAAACAGGCCGGTCCAAACCTACGAATCGAGTCTTGTAGGTGAACAAGCATGTGAAACTTGGGCTTGTTGACCCAGCGAGCATTGAGGGCCACCAAATTTTTGAGAAATCTGGATATGGCGATGTCCAGTTCGGCTAGATAGGATTCCATGTTTGGTATTTCTGTCTGAAATATATAAGATCCTAGAAGACAAAGAGATGTCCACATTTTGCGTTTTTCCTCGGAAAGGTGTTCGAAAAGCACAAATGGGACGGTCTGTAAAACCGTTCGGAACTCCTTACCGACCAGGCTCTGATAGTAAGTAATCATCGTGTTTGGTTGAATGGGTGCCATCTTTAATCCGCTGGTATTGAAGGATCTCCATCGACCTGAAAGATTGTTGTAGGTTTTGGAGCCGGCCTTGATATTCCCCAGCTCCTTCATCGTGTCGCGGAAAAGATACTTTGTGGTACCCAAAAGTGCCACATGGAGAACCTCAACTGGAGTGTCTTTGTGACCATCAAAGCCTACCAACATAAGAAAAGACCTCAGCTTATATCAACTGCAGATGTATTATGTTAAGACATCATCACCTTTGAGTCTCAACATAGGATTGAAGATATGTTCACCATGTTCTTCCTCGATGTCTTGACAGAGTTTCTCGACGTCAGATGTAGGAAGACACTCGTGTGCTACTTGAACCTTTTTCTGGAAAACTTCGTTCATAGGATCGCGAACTCCAAAGTCACGGCTCATCTTCTCTACTCGAGTCTTGGTGTTGCGCTTTTGAGA